CATTTCCTGCCATTCTTCTAGCCTCTTCCTTCCTCAATTCTCTGTTTTTTCCTTTTCCAGTATTTTCAACTCATTGACTCCTTTTCTTCTGTCTTAGATATGTACAAATCTCCTTAATTAAAAACCCTTCTGTCCCCTCTAGATACCTTTCTGTTTTTCACATTTTTATGGTCACACGTCTCTTTTGAGATATTATTACTAATTTATTTCCTTGTCTTCCAGTTTTCTTAAAGGCACTGGTATTCTGACTATCACTAATACATTCTAGAAAGTCTCTAGTAATTTGAATCTTCAAATTCAAAGACTTTTCTCAGTTCTCACTTTCTTTGATTTCAACTCCTTCTTTTAAAATTTCTCTATTCCTGGTAATGGTACCACAAGCTTATTTTCTTCAGATTAAAATCTCAATTATTGTAAACTCTTTCTCAGGTGTCAATATTTTGTCCTTTTACCATATCCTACCTATTCTTCCTTCACAAAGTCTTTTATCTGTCACCTTTTCTACTCCCACTGCAACATTAATGGAAAAATTCCTAAGTCCATGTCCTTCTCCCTATAATAACCTCTGAACTGATCTATTTCTAAGTATGCAAAATAACCAGTGGTGTCCTGGTAAACTGGCTTATTACTGAGGGGGGAAAAACACCTCTTGATATGTAGCATTTGCCGATTTCTGTGGTTGATTTTAAACTAGGAATGATTTAATAGCTGGTCCACAAAATTCCTCAGCATTTAACAACCAAATCTCAGCATACCATTGGTAATAACTTTCAGGGACACAGTAAGGCTGGTCTTTTATTTACATGTGCAGGCAGCTAGACAAGCTTGAGCAGAGCAAGGATGATGGGCCAGATTCAGAAGGTCAGCAAAGTGGAAAGCCCCAGGTGCGTAACAAGCAAAAATGGAAAAACAAGGACCTTGCCCCACCCAGGGTAACCTTTCCTCCCCTAGCATATCACTGGTCTTGCGGCTTAGACCTCTGACCTCTCATATCTCTGGTCATATGGTTCAGACCCTCCCTTTCCTCCTCTGGCATGTTGCTAGTCATGTGGGTTAGACCCGCTTAGAGGGGAAGTGAACAAAGGGGCCAGAGAATAGCCCTAAGCATTAAAACCCCCAAGACACTGAAGTTCTGATCTGCATCAATTATATCTAGGTCTCAGCCATGTTTCAGTTCCGGGCTCAGAAAAAACAGCAAAATCAGACAAGTGACATGGTGGCTGACATTAAGACCAGCTACATTGACTAAGGGCCCCCTGCCCTGGTACTGACCAGTCAGTAAAGACCATGACCTGAAAAGACACAGGTGGAAAGCTGATGAATATTCTATTGAGATCCTCCTCTGGGACCTTCCCTAAAAGCTCTTAGGATGGAGGACCCAGCTGCTCTCTAGAGCAAACCCACTCCTTTCCCCATGCACCCCTAGGGCATTTTCCTTGCCTCCTTTCTTTCTTCTAAGTTCCAAGGGCCGCTTCTCTTGCCTCTGCAACGTATTTCCTGAGCCCATTTCTTCTACAGCTCATGTCTTCTACCTCTGTGACTTGCTAAATAAACTTTTTCTTATAGTTGGAGTCTTGGCTTTGAATTCTTTCTTAGCCAGAACTCAAGTACCAAGGTTGCTGAACTGAGATCTAACTTCTGATGCCATTTCTGCTGCCAACACGTTATTATTGATAATCGTATATTTTCCTATTTTTTTCATATATGAGGGAGGACCTAAAAAAACCAGAATTATCTTCTGGAGGGTGGGCCCATTGTAGTATAGGCTTCCCCTGCTAGATGTATGTTCTGCGAATCCATCTGTATCTCTTGTACCAGCTGTGATTGTTGTGAGTGGCAGTGTTCAGCTTTGGTGAATTATTTTTGAAGACTTTTTCAGTGCCTTTGCCCATTTCATGATGGGTGATTTACGAGCACACCTGCCCACGCTCTGCTGAGTGTTCAAAAGTTTTTGATCAAAAAAACAGCATGATACCGTGCCCCAACCTTCCTAGTCACCTGATCTCGCCCTGAGTGACTTCTGTTTTGTTTCCCCGTGTAAAAAGAATTCTCAAAGGGAAATGTTTTGCTGATGTGGAAGAGGTCAAACAAAAAATGGGAGAAGCGTCTTATAATGCCTTTGCTTATAATGCTTATAATGCCTTATAGCATCAAAAATTGGTGAGTTCAAAAACTGTTTTTGAGCAGTGGAAAAAACGTCTCAATAGGGGTATTACATCAAATGGAGAGTATTTTGAAGGTGACTGAAGTTTAAATATGTAAGAATAAATACACAATTTTATAAATTCTGGGTTTTTGGGGTTCTCCTGTATGTTTTTATATTTTACATATGTAAAAAACAACTTTATTCGAGATATAATTCATATACTGTTATAATTCAATACCCATTTAAAATATACAACCAAGTGGTTTTTAGAATATTCACGGAGCTGTGCAACCATCATATTACCCATTTTAAAACATTTTCATCACCCCAGAGAGAAACCCTGTACCCGTCAGTAGTCATTCCTCCTCAACCCTCCCAGTCCAATGTAAACACTAATCTACTTTCTGTCTAAAATTTACCTATTCTGGACATTACATATAAATGGAATCATATAAATGGTCTTTTGTGGCTGGCTTCTTTCAATTAGCATAGTGTTTTCCATGTTGTAGCATGCATTAGTACTGCATTCCTTTTTATGGCTGAATATCATCTGTTTCTTGAGGTATTACGTATAGAATAGTGCATAAACCTTAATAGTACAGCTCAGCAAATGTTTACATGTGTAATCACCAGTACTCCCAGAAGGCTTTCTCATGTCCTCTGCTAGTTAGTATCCTCTTTTCCCAAATTTTCTCTTTGTCCTCTGACTTCTATTTTTTATTAGCTTTGTTTGTTTTTGAACTTCATATAGATGAAATCATAGAATATGTATTTTTTTGTGAATAGCATATACTTGTAGTGATTCTTTGCATGCTAACTTCTAGAGGGTAAATTGCTCTCTCTATGCTAGGAAAATCACAAATAATGTCAGAAAATTGCACATTTGGGTCCTTGGTCTATTCTTACCTCTTTTTAAAAATGTTTTTAAAAGGATAAAATGCATCTAAAAATGCATGTTTTTGCTTATTTTATAGCTTTAGTATATTTTAAACTAAACTTATATAAGTGATTTTAAAAAGAAAACTTTTAATTTTAAAACAATTTTAAAAATCTATCCTTATCTGAAAACAGGACAAAACAATGTCTTCCTGGCTTCTGGATTTAGCCCAATCAGGATATGACCTGTTTAGAATTTAAAATTCTAAGGGATCACTGCAGCCTGATAGAAATTAAAGGGGTTGTAAGGGAATATTATGAAAGTGTTCATAATTTTGACAATTTAGGTGAAATAGACAAATTCCTAGAAAGAGACAAATTATCAAAACTGATCCAAAATGAAGTAGAAAATGTAAATAGACTTATCCCAAATAAAAAAAAAAACTTGAATTAGTTTTTAAAAGTCTTCCTGCAAAGACAAGTCCAGACCTAGATGCCTTCATTGGTGAATGCTATTAAACATTTAAGGAAGAAAAAATATCAATCTTATACAAATACTCTCAGGATATAGTGGAGAAGAGAACACTTACTAACCTACCTTATAAGGCCAGATATCAAAGCTAGGAAAAACAGCACAAGAAATTATAGTTCAAAATCCCTCACAAACTTAAGACACAAATTTCTTAATATATTAACAAATTGAATTTAGGAGCATATAAAATGATTTATTAGAATATGACCAAGAGGGTTTTCACTCAGATATTCAAGGTTGGTTTAACATATTAAAATAATTATTTTAATACACCATAATTAATAAAAGGCAAAACCAAAATCCAGCACCTGTTTATTATAAGAACTCTCAACAAACTGCAAAGAGAAGGGAGCTTTTTCAATCTGATAAAGTGCATCTACAAAAAACTTGCAGATAACAAAATACTTAATGGTGAAAGATTGCCTCAGACTGGGAAGAAGGCAAGAATATTTGTCCTTCCCAGTTCTATTCGACATTGGACTAGAGGTTCCAACTAGTGCAAGAAGGGACAACGAAAAGAAATTAAAGTAATCAAGTTTGGAAAGGAATAAGAAAAGTTGTCTTTATTCACAGACGACATCCTCTCATATGTAGAGGGTCCTAAGGAATCTACCAAACTGCTAAATTAATCATTGAGTTCGACAAAGTCATAGGCCATAAGATCAATATACGAGAACTGAAATTACACACACAGACACACACACACTAGCAAGGAACAATCCAAAAATAAAATTAAGAAAACAGTTGCAGTCACAATAGCATCAAATAGAATAAAATATAGGAATAAAGTTAACAAAAACTCTTGAATAAAGCTTTCCTTTTTAAAGGAAAGACCATACCTGCCTTATTTCAGCTTTGCCTCTAAGTAATTGCATATAATTGATATAACTTCTCTGAATTTTGTTTTCCTCATCTTTAAATTGAGGATACCAAACTATTGTACTACTTGCTTCGCAGGGCTGTTATGAACATTAGAACATACTTACAGTGCAAAGACTTACACAGTGGTAATTGTACTCAGTAAAGTGTACAGGAGCTGTGTGTCTTTCTAGCCCCTTAGTTGAAGCAATTTGAAATGCACTTATGAATGTTGGCAATTTAGACACATAGAACAGGGTTGGCTAGTTCTGCTATGCATAGAGGAGCCTCCATTCTGCACCCAGTTAGTTGGGATTGTTCCCAGCCACCTTGCTCAGTCTTTATCCTGAAATCACCAGCAAGACATTTATTTTTGAGACCGAGTACCCATTTGGTAAAAGGTTGCCACTTTGACTTGACATTTGGGAATTTCTTTTTCTTCTTCTTTGTGTTATGAATTTCTAGGAGGAATTTTAGTCACTGCATACTGACTAAAATCAATATTGTTCTTTAATGCTGTCATATTTTGAGTATTTCAGTTTGTACCATTGAATTTAACTTTTCCCTCCTTCACTTTCCTCTTTTAAGGGCTTACGGCAGCCAGCTCCTTTTTCTGATGAAATTGAAGTAGACTTTAGTAAACCCTATGTCAGGGTAACTATGGAAGAAGCCAGCAGAGGAACTCCTTGTAAGTAAATGCCCAGTTATTTTGTTGTTTTGCTATTACTGGTTTTTAGCATTTAGTTGTATTTATCAAATATATACCTACTTTTTCTATTCTTCCCTCAGTTTACCTATAAAGGCTAGTTGCGAAAAGGGGGATAAGTTTCTTCTATCTCCCTTGCTGTTCTTTTAGGACGATAACTATACACCATAAAATTTCATTTTTTTCCTTATTATTATGATGCACTTGTTTCCCAGGATGTTGTTGCAGCTTTAAGATATGTAGTACACACTTGCTTCCTGGGCTGTTGTCATAGTTATGAGTTATAGCGGAGCAGAGACAATAAGATATTAGCCTGAGCTGGATTTTAATCTTGTCTATTTTTATAAAGGTCCAAATAATATGTCAGGCCATCTGTCACATTTTTAATAACCTTCAGAATTGCTCCCCAAATCTGCCTATCAGTGAGTACTCTAGCTATGATGCTGGGGTTTTTGTTTTTTTTTAAAGGCTTTATTTATTTATTTCCAGAGAGAGGGGAAGGGAGGGAGAAAGAGAGGGAGAGAAGCATCAATGTGTGGTTGCCTCTTGCGCACCCTCAATTGGAGACCAGGCCTGCGACCCAGGTGGGAGCCCTGACTGGGAATTGAACCAATGACCCTTTGGCTCACAGGCTGGCACTCAATCCACTGAGCCACACCAGCCAGGGCTTTTATTTTATTTGATGATGTTGATCATAGAGGACAAAAAAAAATCCTAACTTTGGAGATGCTCATCATTTAACTTTATCTTTATTAATATTATACTTTTCCTGTTTTTTTAAGACATTATTATCAAAGGTCATACTCTTTATTTGTGTCCTTAGTTTACACAATATATGTAATCTAGATACTCTTGTTTCGGGCAATTGGTTTTAGGGGTCATCCTAAATTGGAACTTCCATGAACACTTAGAGAGACAGAGTCTTATAGGCAGCTGTCCTTACTTCCTAATAAATTCTTCAATTCTCTTTTTTTTTTAATTCTTTTTTATTTCTTCCAGTTACTCTGGTAAGTATTTTGTCTACTGTGTAAACATAGGTCTGGATTCAAACCCAGGCAAGCACTAGGGAATAAGAATTGGTTATAGCCACAAATCTTTTTTTTTAAACTATATTTTATTGATTATGCTATTACAGTTGTCCCATTTTTTTTATCCCCTTTATCCCCCTCTGCCCAATACCCACCCCTCCCTCCACCATTCCCTCGACCACCCTTAGTTCATGTTCATGGGTCGTACATATATGTTCTTTGGCTTCTCCATTTCCTGTACTAGTCTTAACCTCCCCCTGTCTATTTTGTGCCTACCAACTATGCTGCTTATTCCCTGTACCTCTTCCCGCATTCTCCCCAATCCCCCTCCCTGCTGATAACCCTCCATGTGATCTCCTTTTCTATGTTTCTGTTCCTGTTCTAGTTGTTTGCTCAGTTTGTTTTTGTTTTTAGGTTCAGTTGTTGATAGTTGTGAGTTTGTTGTCATTTTACTGTTCATAGTTTTGATCTTCTTTTTATTAGACAACTCCCTTTAACATTTCATATAATAAGGGCTTGGTGATGATGAACTTCTTTAACTTGACCTTATCTGAGCAGCACTGTATTTGCCCTTCCATTCAAAATAATAGCTTTGCTGGATGGAGTAATCTTGGATGTAGGTCCTTGATTTTCATGACTTTGAATACTTCTTCCAGCCCCTTCTTGCCTGTAAGTTTTCTTTTGAGAAATCAGCTGATAGTCTTATGGGATCTCCTTTGTAAGTAACTCTTCCTGCTTTTAAGATTCTCTCCTTATCTTTAATCTTGAGTAATTTAATTATATGTCTTCGTGTGTTCCTCTTTGGGTCCAACTTCTTTCCGAATCTCTGAGCTTCCTGGATCTCCTGGAAGTCTATTTCCTTCACCAGACTGGGGAAGTTCCCCGTTATTTTTTTAAATGCTTTCAATTTCTTGCTCTTCCTCTTCTGCTTCTTGCACCCCTATGATTCAGATGTTGGAACATTTAAAGTTGTCCCAGAGGTTCCTAACTCTCTCTTTATTTTTCTGAATTCTTATTTCTTCATTCTGTTCTGGTTGAGGAATAGTAAAATACAAATAGAAATGGATACTGGGCAATGTTAAGCCAGGGATCCCCAAACCCCTGGACTATATCTTGACTATACGGCGTAGAGTTTTTTGGGTTCTCAAAATCCTAGAGAATGTTTTCCTTTGAAAAAGTTTTATACATGTTGATTACAACCCTTCTGATACATGATGCAATGTTTTGGGTTTGGCTCCTCTTGCTGGAGTAATAGGCAAAGCTACTGGTGCAGGTAAAATGACAACATGATAAAAGAGGCTATATGTAACAGGGTGTAATGGTGGCAGGTCAAATTTCAAAATGCCACCAACGTGTTCAAGGGTCACATTCAGATGTGATAGTAGAGTCTGTTGAAGGCAAGAACTGCTCATGCACTCTCTGATGACACACATTCAGAATACAGTACCTGTCTCAGAGCCAATCATGTTAACTATGGTACCCAGCTTGTTGCTACTATACCCATACCACTTGTGATACATAAAATGTATATGTGTGTAGATATACTTTTGACAAGTTTAGAAGCTCATATAATTAACAAGCACTAACCAATAAATGTAATTTTATTTTTTAAAAGATTTTATTTATTTTTAGAGGGAAGGGAAAGGAGGAAGAAAGAGAGGGAGAGAAACTTCAATGTGTGGTTGCCTCTTGCATGCCCCCCTCTGGAAACCTGGCCCGGCAACCCATGCATGTGCCCTGACTGGGAAAAGAACCAGTGACCCTCTGATTCGCAGGCTGGCGCTCAACCCACTGAGCCACACCAGCCAGGGCAGAAATCTAATTTAAAAAAATTTTAGAGTAATGTAAATTTACAGGTAGTTTATTTTTGAGATAATATACTTTATATTCTCTTTATTATATACATGAAGGAATTAGGGTCCATAGAAACTTAGAACTAAAGGCTCCTCTACAGTAAAACAAGTAATTAGTGATAGAATTGAAGCTAAAACCTAAGTTTTTCCATCTTTGTGTTCTTTTCACCATGGAGTGATGCAGCTCTTCATAGACATTAGTTATTAGCAATAGAAGACCATCGACCAATTGATTGTGTTTTAGGTTGTATAGATAGTCACGGAATAGCCTATAAAGTTGGCCAGTCTAATTCTGTCTCCAGTGTTTCTCCTATATCTCGTTATGTCTGTTCAGTTTGATATTAAATAGCCAATACTCTGGTTTCTCTTCAGATCATATAAATCTTTTGCCTTTTAAATAGCCAAATAACTGACTAAATTCATGCCAGTGCTGGACAATGGATAAACCAGTAATAAATCTACATACACATACCATGGTGATTTTTAAACAAAAATTGGTACAAAGGAGCATTCCCCCCTCCGCTCCCAGGTTTTCACTCAGGAGGTTAAGGGAGTACAAGAGGGAAGTTTGTATAGTCTAGGAGAAAACTCACTACCCAGAAGAAAAAAAACCAACAAATATGTCTTGAGAGATGAGGTTATCTCTTTCGAAAGATGAAAAAAAAAAATCAGTGATGTGTTCTCTTAGAGAAAGGAAGAAAAAGCAGAATCTGAAGGGCACTGAAAATCTCTTAGGGACAAAATGTTTTGGTGATAGGTATTTGAGAGACTATATCAAAAGAGACATTAAATTGAAACCCAGGTCTGTTTGGCCTAAAGAACACCTAGTGACTTAGCCAAGCAGTAGTGCAGGACTGTAATTTATAATCCATATCAGAACCATTTAGAGAGTGAAAGGGTTTGCTCTTAATAATATACTGAGACAACAGATGTAAATCATAGGGATGGTACAATTATCCTGGCCAATAAGCACTTGGTGAAAGAATGGATAACTTGTGTTTTCTCCTTAGATTTTCTAGTTTAACAGTGGCCCCTTCTGGCCGTTTGGTTAACATACCAGCCTGGATTCATAAAAGACATGGGGTAAAGTCAGAGGGAGCTGAGAAGTTGGGAGGCTGGGGAAACACTGCAGAGGGCAAGAAGCACATCTGGGGTTGGTCTGAGAAAAGGATTCAGCGGTGATGTGGCCTGATATGGGATGATCAGTTACTGGCAAACAGCATTCTATGCCATTTCCAGTCTCAGGAAACCTCACTTTACCCTTGGTGTACACTAATGGCAGACACAAAAACAAACAAACAAAATTACTCTTAATTTTTGTATTCTATCCTTTATCTTTTAGGATCAAATAAAGTGAGATCATAGCCACTCTGGACTTGTTTGGGAAAGATGGAAGTATGTTAGTTACTTTATGGTCATTATTTCTAGGATGTAGATGAGAGATTATACTACCCTGGTTTGGTTTTGTTTTGCTTTGTTTTATAGCTGAGGAAACTGAGGCTTAAAGAGGTTAAAAGTACAGAGGAAAGAGGATAGTTGGCAAGCGTGAGCTATAACCTTTCTGACTTTTTAGTCCATCATTTTATTTTTCAGTTTTTCATTGTCTTGGTACATGTATTTTATTTAAACATTTTATTTCCTATATTATAAAATTAATTCATTCCCATGCCTAATATTCATAAAGTACAAAAAGGTGTATAGAGTGAAATGCCTTCCTTTCACCACTGTCTAACAACTGCCCAGTATCCCTTTTATGGGCAAAAGTTTTACCAATTTCTTGTGGGTATCCTCAGCAAATAGTATATATATTCTCCCACTCTTTTGATGGGTGTATCATGGTATAGTCAATGTTCTATTGAAATTTAGGTTGTTTCTAAACTTTTGCTATTACAAACAATGCTGCAGTGAATAACATATATTTTTGCAAATATACCTGTGGGATAAATTCCTAGAATTGGAATAGTTGGGCCAAAGTGTATAAGCATTTGTCATTTGACTTTTGATGAGATAGTGCCTAATTGCCCATCGTAAATTGTATCAGTTTATATCAGCAAAGTATGATTTCTCAGTTTAAAAGCTACTTGCTTATGGATAAAGTGATCTGGAAATAAAAGTCCATAAGCTTCCTGAGAACCAGTTTCCTCCCCCTTGATTCATTTTCTTGATTCGCAGGACAGGAGAGAGAGGTATCTTATTCCCACTTTCAGTGTGGCATGGTCTGATAAGACTCTGGCCTTTTTTCCCAGAGTGATGTATGTGCTCCTAACTCTTTCTGCTGCTGTAGTGAAAAAGCTTTTTCTTTCTTCACATAGTGGGAACATGTTACTGGGACTCAATAGATTTATCATTTGAAGCATGATGAACCATTGTATCAATTTCATTCTCAGTGTATTTATTTGGATTTGGAATTAGTCTTGTGCCCCAAGAGATCATTTCCTGGCTTTTCTTTCATAGTCCACTACCATGAAAAATAAATGGACAGTCGGCTGTTTTCTCACTAATGGAGGGGAGGAAAACCTCTAATATAAAGTCCTAAAATATTTATGTTCAATTTTTAAATCTTATATAAATAGTATATCACTCTCTGCTGAGAAAGTATAACATCATGCGCTCTATCAAGGAGAAATGCGTGGCCCTGACTGGTGTGGCTCAGTTGGTTGAGCATCATTCAGCAAAGTGAAAGTTCACCAGTTCAGTTCCTGGTCATGGCACATGCCTGAGTTGCAGGCCTGTTTCCCGGTTGGAGCATGTGAGAGGCAACTGATTGATGTTTCTCTCACACATCAGTGTTTCTCTCCTTCTTTTTCTCCCTCCTTTACCTTCTCTCTAAAAATAAATAAAATCTTTTTTTAAAAAAGGGAGGAGTGCTTGAAGGAATTCCACCTGTTATCCCAGAGCAGGTATTGAGGGTGAATCTGGGACTGAGAAGCAATAAATTGATAACTAGTACTTACCTTCCTTCTTTCTTAATCTCTCCTTTCAGAATCACTCCTTACTCTCTGGGCAATAGTAGGGAGGTTTATTTTCAAAGCAAAGCATTAGTCATTAGTATTCAAGGCAGCTTGAAAATGAGAGAGCAACCAGCCAGATTATAGTATAACTATATTCTGTTTTTATGTAACTGAAGTTTAAACATAAGCTTAAGGGGAAGATTTTGAAGTTTTGGATTTATCTGTAGTATAACTCTTCCCTTTCACTTCTAAACTAACTTTAAGAAAAAGCAATCATGAAGTCCAATTACCTGAGCAGTTTGGTACCACCACTCTAACAAAGAGAGTTCATGGATATAACATCAGAAGAGTCTTTGTAGCCAACAGTGTCTGTGATGTCATTCCTCACAATCCCCAAATTAATGTGACTAACCAGAGAACACCTTGAGAGAGGGATATGCAAGGATGGAGCCGTCACACAGCACCATTTCCAATTTGCCAAATATGAGATATTGAATCAGTGTAATTTTGTGAAAAATTTTCTTTTGGATTTAGGTGAGCGACCTGTAAGAGTTTATGCAGATGGAATATTTGACTTATTTCATTCTGGTCATGCCCGGGCTCTGATGCAAGCAAAGAACCTTTTCCCTAATACATACCTCATTGTGGGAGGTAAGAAAACATCTTTTATCTTTATAACCTGAGTGTATTGGCTCTTGTTTTGGCTTTTAAGTGAGGGATATAGTACGGCCTCTCTAAAACATGCTATATAAAACCTGGAGAGAGAAGTTCTAAGCTCACTGACCTTAAATGTCAGGGTTTATCTTATTGTTTCTAGCTGAGTGTCTGCAGTCATGGGAGACTCCTCTTACCCATTTAAGAATGACGTTTTCTCTGGATTTCAGTGTATCATTTTGAATCAGCTGAACTACAGAATTCAGCTTCACAAATATTATGTGATCCAGTCCAGTCTTATAAAAATATCCTACGAAAACATTTTTTAAAACTTAATTGACGCACTAATGCACAGTAGGTTTATTTCAAAGGCAAAGAGGTTAGTCCTGTTGGAGCCTCTCTTCACCAAAGTGTGAACATATTATTTAGTGAGTGTTGCTTCTGAAGGTGTTTTTTTGGATTAGAAAAAGTATTGTTACCTGGACCGCATGACCTCTAGAAGATTTTTCCCTGGGTGGGGAGAAAGGTTACAGTCCCACGGAATGGGAGAGGTTGGTGACTGAGGAGTGGTTAAGCATAGAGGGCTTTGACTAACAACCTTCTGATATGATGAACTCAGTTTGCAGCGATGAGCTAACACACAACTTCAAAGGCTTCACAGTGATGAATGAAAATGAGCGCTACGATGCAGTGCAGCACTGCCGCTATGTGGATGAGGTGGTGAGGAATGCCCCCTGGACCCTGACTCCAGAGTTCCTGGCAGAACACCGGGTAAGAAACGGAGCACATGTCCCCATTCCCTGTTCCAGAATTCTTTCAACTCTCAGGGCTTTTGGTAGTTGGTAGTTTTCCATTAGCCTTACTTTACTTCTACCTTCTATGTAAATTTCATATAGAGGAGATGACAGTGATGTTACTACTAATAATAGTCATCCCTGACATTTGGGGTTTTATGGTTCATAAACACTTTTACATTTATTGTATTTTCATTTATTCCCCATAACAATCCTGTGAGTGATTATTATTTCCATTTTATATATGAGAACAAGGCCAGAGAGACCAAATAACCTGGTCCAGATTACACCGTAGCAGGTAGAAACTGAATGTGTCAGTTAGGTTACCCCCGACCCCCAACCACCACACACTGTAGGCATCCCTCCTCGTAGCATACCAGTCTCTCCCCCCCCCCCCAGGTGACTATAAGGATACATTTATTAAAGCTGGGGACAGTAAAATGAGGAAGGGTTTAGTATAGTAGAATCAACAGGAGAGCCTAGGCTGGGTCACCTTAACTCACTGGGAAGTGAGAAAAGAGGGGACCTTGGGACGGGTCAGGGGATAGACCTGGGACAAGCTGCCAGCCGCCCTTTGCCTTGGAGTTTAGGAAACATGTGCCTGTGGGGAAAGAAGTGGGAGAGGAAGAAAGGAAAGGGAATGGCGCGGACTGCTCCCCAGTGGGAGAGTGCGCACACTGGGACCCGTCTCTCTGGAGTATACATAGCCCAGCCATGCTCTCAAGTTCACATTCCAGGAAATCAGACAGATAAACATAGACTTCTCTTGCATTGACTTAAATTTAGTTTCAGGGCTTTGATTTTGGATTAGAAGTTGTGTGCAATCAGAAATGAGGGAGAATCCTCACTTTTGCTCGGTGAGTTGGTATAATAAAGGCCCTTACCTCCTTTTAACTCTCCCACATTAAAGCAATGGGTTATCTGTAAAGGTAGGTATAAAAGAAGAGAGGGATTTATCAGGTCAGGTTGGAGGCCCTCAAGCTTGAGGAACCAGCAAGCATATCATGAGTTTTCTAGAGGGGTGTATGGGAGGTTTCATTGAACAGGAAGGAACAGAGTTAGCAAAAGTGCTTCAAAAGCAATACTTTGGAAGTGTAGGTCTGAACCCAAAGGATATTCGTTATAACTATTTAGGATTAGACACACCTTTTACAGTTCTCTAGCTTTTCTGTGCCAACATTTAGCAGCCAGTGTTAACAAAGGAAGTGAGCAGGGTTATTCTTAGTAACACAGGCAGGCAAGCCCAGGCAGAAGAGGTTAGAGGACCTTATAATTTTGTTTTTCTTGTTAGCAGTGTATCCTGAAGCACAAGTCTTGCTTGCCCACCCATGTTTCATTTTGCTGCCTATGGATCCCTGACAAGTTGTTTATGGGTAACTGAGACGTTAGCTGAGAGTCCCTGGCACAGTCCTGATGAGTCTGCTTAACACTGCAGTGGCTTCTGGGAGTCGGTTATGGTGGTATTAGCAATTATGTTCGCAAAGGGTATAAAACTTATTCAGGAAGGAGTAAATAAGTGAGGTTTAGCATACTTCCCAGAAATATTATTGATCTCAGTGCCAGTCGTCTCTTCATTGCTACAAGAGGTATTGACGCTAGTAAAACGGTAGATCCTGTGACCTAAAGGTCTTTTGTGGATTTGGATTGTGCATTTCTCGGGCGTATAGATGTACCTATTCAAGTTAAAGGGTCCCTTTTGGTTGCCATTTTTATATTCCCATTCATCTCCTAGACTGAGAGAAGAACCAATTGACAAAGAAGTGACTTCTTCTTTCCTCAGCTCCCCCTACTAACTAGCACACTCAGCCCAATTTTCCAAGCAAAGTGACTGCTATGCAGTGTGAAGGTAGCACCTCCAGTAGACCAGGAAAAGTAGCTAAAAACAAGAAACTTGCTGACTTCATATTTATGATCTGTAAATAATTACGTCGAGTGGCTTGTGAATGAAGTGTGCAATGTACGAGCAAAGCAAAGAGAGATAAAGAGAAAATGCCCGTTTGACGACTGGTCTCTCCTTTTTGTCCTTTTTCTGGGCCTGAGTATGTACTGGTTCTTTCTGAATGGCCAGTATGGTGGGTTTTAAGTGGTTCCTTATTTTCAGATTGATTTTGTAGCCCATGATGACATCCCTTATTCCTCTGCTGGAAGCGATGATGTTTATAAGCACATCAAGGAAGCAGGTGAGTAAGTTGATGTGTATTCTCAATTTATGAGTGAGTCTCAGGGGCAGTGACAGATTTGTCCACATCACTACAGAGAAAAGTTTATACATTGAGAAAGTCAACATCCACTTTGGGTCACACTTTGGGTAAAAGGTTAAGGTGAGCTAGCATTGAGATCCAGCAATTCTCAGTCTAAACGTCTACTATTGATATCTCTTTTAATTTCAGGAAAGCTTTCTCTAACCCCATATTTTTCTTAATATTAAGGCCACATAGCTCCTCCTTTCCTTAACCCCTGTTCTTTGATTCATTTCCCCTTCTATATGTCAGTATTTTCAGACTTCCCTTAATAATAGCAGATTCTGCTTTTTAAGGAAAGGAAAGGAATGTTGTTCCCAGTTTCCATTTAGTCCTACTGCCTGAGCTAACCAGGATGTTACAGTGTTTATATGTGTTTTGGGGTTAGGCATGTTTGCTCCAACACAGAGGACAGAAGGTATCTCCACATCAGACATCATCACCCGAATTGTCCGGGACTATGATGTATATGCCAGACGGAACCTACAGAGGGGCTACACGGCAAAGGAGCTCAATGTCAGCTTTATCAACGTGAGTTCCAACCTCATCCCAGAGTTCCCTGGCCCCATAAGAAACACGTTGCCTACCACTTCATCTGAGCTGAACTTGCTTTTCAGTTTGCTATAGTTATCTCCCCCAAAAGCTCAATGAATCCTCTTTGAAGATAATGCTATGCTAAGCTCTTTACAAAGAGAATGAAACAGGCATTTTCTGCCTTTATGGTCTAGTATCAACACATTGATATATTAAAATAGTGGTTCTTAGCCTTTTTATTTCTTGTTTTAGATTTGATGGTCTTTTGAAAATCTGTTTAAAGCTGTGGATCCCTCCCTGTATGGATAGCAACACACACTTTGCATATAGTTTCTAGGGACATGTGGACCTAACTTTTAAAATTTGATTTATGAAAGCAAATTTTTCTTTAGGTAAACATTGCCCTTTAGCAACAAACTGCTACATATTTTGTATACAAATTGTACCTCTATAAAGTTTATTTTAAAAGAAGCTGCTAACTGTATCTTCTATATTAGTAGGTTACCATGCTTCCTTGCCTGTTCCTCACTGTGAATGATGAATAGGTGAAATGTTTTCATCCGATTATGATTTATCTATGCAGATAAATCCTAGCTGTTGTTAATTGCCAACTACATAACTTTTATCTATTCTCAGGTGTTTAAAATTTTTAAACACGTTTTCTTGTCCCTTTATGATTGGGAAATTATGAGAATACTTTTCATTTGACTAAAGACTCCCCACCCTAACCCCCATCCCCAGAGAAGTCCCATCATTTTCCCTTATCTTTAGGAAAGTTTGTAGAACCAAAGAGTATCATCTTTATTTTGTGAAAGAACAAACAGACTTCCAAATACTAAAAATAACTTTTAAAATCAGAGACTAAGCAAGTGATAGAGGAGAAAAAATCCAATACAATAAATGAAATAAGTAAAAGACCTACTACTTCCACTTTCAACCTATTATAATTGGCTTATTCTTGACAATATTGTTTAGTGATCTTGTCACTCCCTTCACATCTCTGTCTAAAATGGGGTTTGGGTAATGTTTGGCATGTTTATGTTCTAAATTCATATTTTGTTTTTGAAAATGTGACTTCATTTGGTTACATACATGTTACTAAACATATTTAGTTTAGTCAGGGCTTCCGAGATGTTAGAAATATCACACTTTTATATAAGATGACTATCCAGAGCACCTCCTCTCTGTTATTATGCTAGAGAAGTGTGGGATAGATTAAGCAAAGTGAAAATGTAAAGACTAAACAGTGTCAATAGAGTGCTGAACCATGTTTCTTTGCCCTCTTTGGTATGAAAGGTCAGGGTGGGTATTATTTCTCAGAACAGTTCTTTCTTTACCTAGGAGAAGAAATACCACTTGCAGGAACGGGTTGACAAAGTAAAGAAGAAAGTGAAAGATGTGGAAGAAAAGTCAAAAGAATTTGTTCAGAAGGTAGAGGAAAAAAGCATTGACCTCATTCAGAAATGGGAGGAGAAATCCCGAGAATTCATTGGAAATTTCCTGGAAATGTTTGGTCCAGAAGGAGCACTGGTATGTTCTTTCCTGCTGGATAATTTAGGGAAATTCAGGGAATTCTCATGCTGTGTGAAAGAATTATAGCATCCTTGAGCAGAAAGGGACACGGGCATTCAGAAGTTATCCAGCCTGTTCCCCTGATGGGGCAGAACTATATTTCAGCTGTCTCCAAAAACTTCTTTTAAGTCTTTCCAGAAAGAGTTACATATTCTCCTAGATAATTTTGCCAGCTTTCTATCAACGTCCAAATCTGGTAACAAGAGAAGAGCGTAGCCTTGCCCACTTGTATGCTATAGTTTTAGATAGAAGGAAAGGAAAGAGCAGTAAAAAGAAAGCTGCACTCCACTCCAAACAGCTGCTTCTGTATTGCTGGGTGAGGTGGGAATTCTGTCACTGAGGAGTAGCAAGTTTTCCTTAAGCCAGAGGGAGGGTGTGTGTGTGTATAGCTATTCAGCAAGTGAGCTCTAGCTTAGATATTCGGAAGGAGCTGACTGTGAGGGTGTTTGGATACCAGAATAGATTATTCAGGGAAAATATGAATTCCCTTTTCAGAGAACCCTGAAACTCAGAGAGGTACCCTTTTGTGTGAGTTAGTTCCTTTGTTCTTGCTTGGAGCCTGGACTATACGCCAAGTAGGCTTTTAAGAATTTCCTTTGACATAGAAGTCAGGATCGGGTGGCTGAATAGCAGGTAGGCACCTTTAGATAAGTTATATAACATAGACCACTTCAGGGAGAAAATTACTCAGAATTATAGCTATGTCCCCCCTTAGGCTTACTTGATTACTTTTGACATTGCACAGGGCACTCGTGATAATTTGAAGTCTCAGGCACGCCAGTGGGGATTTATTAGGATCCATGGGTTTCTTCTAACTCTTCTTTTGGTCTCCCCAGAAACATATGCTGAAAGAGGGGAAAGGCCGGATGCTGCAGGCCATCAGTCCAAAGCAGAGTCCCAGCAGCAGCCCTACTCGTGAACGCTCCCCCTCACCCTCTTTCCGATGGCCCTTCTCCGGCAAGACTTCCCCTCCTTCCTCCCCAACAAACCTCTCCAGGCACAAGGCTGCAGCCTATGATATCAGTGAGGATGAAGAAGACTAATTTTTCTTCCCTCCTTTCCTCTCCCCTCCCCGCGTCCTATCACCTTCAGAAGCTCTCTGTTGAATTCTAAATTGTGGTCCCAACAATAAACCTAAAGACAGCTACAAAGGAAAGACAATTAGGGCAACAGGACCTCAGATGGGGGGAGCAGACAGCCCATCCTCCAAGAGACATCACCTACTCACACCAAGAAGGCGGCTGATTACATCTTAGAAGCCTGTTCCACATCCGTGTACCCTCCCCATGGACTTTGCTTTACTGTTTATGTTCATGTGATCTTGACAGGGAAATTGTCGTTTTTATTAATTTTTAAAAAAATCAGTCTTTCAACTAGAGTAAATATAACTAATTCTTTTGCCCCTCAGGAGTGGGCAGAAGGAGGTGGTGTAATCCCCAGAGGCCTTTTCTTCCTGATACACTATAGGGTTTGCCTTCTGTTCTGAGGCAAACTGGCTGGCCAAGTCCTTCAAGCAGTGACCATGCCGATGGGTGACTTTGGGGTTGGGGGGATGGGAAGGGTATAGTTTTGGTTTCCTTAAAAAAATGCTAAAAGCTGGGTAATGGTCACACATCCCCTAAAGGTATGGCTGGCACATGTGTCAGGGTGGCTGTGAGAAGGAGGAGATCTAAGCCTGACTTTTCTTACTCCCTGAGGAGTTTCCTGTTGGACCCAATGGGGTCCCTGATGACACCGATGGCATCAGCTGTGGCTTTTCTGCTGTGTTCGTCTTCTCAGAAAATTCTGTTGCTTGGTTATCTGGAAGCTCTTGTCAATCTCTTTCCTGTAATCTACTGTTAAAGGAAGGAACACTTTCAGGTTTACTGTGATTGTGGAGAGGAGTAGGACAATACTCAATCCAATACAAAATCATTTTAGATTCCATTTCCCCCTCCAAGTCCCCAGTCCAGCTATTCCTATTTCTATGCTTATTACCTAGCTTTTTAGAAAGGGTACTTTGTAAATGTCTGCAGTTTGAACATGATCTGTTACTCCATGCTGCTCACATCAGATTGAATATTTAGAGAGATTTACACAGAGAATAGATGTAAAGGTATAAGGGAATGTCTACCTTCCTATCTTGACCTCTGCCCTTTTTAAGAATGTTCTTGACTGGAACCAGCGTTCCATGTAGTGTTTGTTTTGCTCTGAGAGTGGCAGCTGGCAGGGACTTCTTTTCCTCCACTGCCCCTTCCAGCAAGCCACAAAGCAAGGGTTCACATTACAAGGATATCCTAGGCTCTCCCCTTCTCTCCCACCTGGCCCCACCTCCCCTGCTAGGTTGCCCTGGGGGATTCATCACTTAAACTTCACAGGGTAGAATGCTGAAGCTTAACACTTGCTGTTGGACGTGAGCTCATTTTAAACCTCCAGCAGCCTTCAGCTACGCGTGACTTAGCAGACCGTCGTCATCCTTTCGTGACCCTGTAGCTGGGTTCAGGGGAGGACTGCTTATGTCCAGGCCCCACCCCGTCACTCATAAATGCCCCTTGTAGGGGTGGAGTTTTAGTGTTTTCAGCTAAGAAAACCACATTTTCTCTTGCCCATTCTAGGGCTGTGAGCATCTCAGTCATCTCCCTTAACACTTCCTGGTAAAACCTGCCTGCCTGCACACTAGGACTACCTAGGTTCTTAAAACCGAGGATCACCCAGAGGCAGAGCATGGCAGAGTAGAGGGACAGAGAGGGGGAACCTCTTGTCCTGATGACCTGTGAAAACTACATTTCTATCTCTTCTCATGAAGTGCTATTTTACTATCAAATCTGGTTTACACGAGCTTTGGCTTGGAATCCTTTTTTTTTTTTTAAACAGGTGAAGTTAATATTTGCCTACATTACCCAGCTTCATGTGATCACGTTTTAACTTTTCTGCTCTAATCTTCCTTCTGTGGGAATCCTGCCTATTTCCTCCTTATTCTCCCTGGTACAGAAAAGCAATGAAGTCACCTCTGAAGCCCACATACTTGTTCCCTCAAACTACACATTATGCTGTATATTTTGAAAGGGAGATGCCCAAAAGGTGGTTTTCCTCCCTGTAGTCACTCCTCTCAAGGATATCGTCTGGGTCTCCGCTCTTTGGGCCCTGCCCCGCTGCTCTGTCAGTGGGCGGCATTTGGCGTACCTCGCCCTTGGAGTGGGACCTCCACACTGAGAGCTCTGTGAGACGACTAGTGCCGGCATGTGCACACATTCTTGGAAAACGCCAGACGCTTTTTGGTTTGTGAGCCTCTACAGCTTCAGTCTCCTAACACTAGTATATTCCAATAATTTTGACTGAAAGCAAAAACTTTTATGGCGTGGCATGTTTGATACGTTGGGATAAATGTGGTCCTAGGTGCTGGTTAAGGATGGGTGGGTGGAAGAAGCTGTTGGGATGATGCATTGTTTGATCATTTATTTGTGCCTAATCAAATGGGGTTAGTGGTTTGCATACCACAGCCATACCTGTGACTTGTAAATCTTCTAATATTAATGTTTGAGGTTGTAGAACTAGTTCTCTGAATGCCACACGCAAAGCTGTCAGCCTGAATAGGCCAAATGTGGCAGACATGGCAGATCTTTAAAAGCTGGTTGGCCCCAGAGTCTCTGTGTGCAAGACGGAAGGAGAATGGAGAAGGAAGCCCTACTCCTGGTGCCAAGGAGATGCCATTTCAGTAGTTCCCTTGAGAGGAGATAAGTGGGAAGTTTGATTTTTTTCATATACTAGACTCAGTAGCACTGACAAATAGAGGCTGAAACTTTAGAGGAATAGAAATGGCTCATTTGTACTGCTGCAGCTGCTTCTGATAGCTGTAGTCAAAGACCATTATTTTTCTGAGACCTGGGTAAAAAATTTGGGAATGTGAGGAGGTTGAAAATCCCGAAAAGGAGAAAAAATATGAGTGCAGTCAAGAGAAATTTTGACCTTTTCTGACCACTGGATAGCTTTTTAGGCAGCACCTGAGTTACAATTTTAAAATTTTACTTGTGACCACGCAGCTGGTTATGCAGTTTCTGGGGATTCCCTCTATAATAATTCTTCACAGTGCTTTTGTTACTCGCTTTCGGCATTATTTTGATTTGTGGGTAACTTCTTATTTTTCTGGAGCTTATTGCCTTTTTAATCCTGTTCCAGATCTCATATTTAAAATCTTTCCAAATAAATTATACTGTCCTGATTTTCTTTAATTCCCTAAAAGCCATAGCTCCTACATTTTCGTCAGCACACACTCTTACCAGAAGTTGAACAAATACATGCAGGAAAAAAACAAAAACCAAAAAACCCAAAACCCTCCTTTAACAATAATTTTAACTAATGGTATTTTTTAAGCTTACCAATATAAGTATTTTTGAAGGTTATATATAATTTTCAAAGTCTTATGATGACGATTCGTGTTTTCTCTTGTAGAATAGATTGTCATGGGATAGAGAGTGGTCCCTAGCCTAGTTTCTATCTACCCACATAAGTAGAGCATGTTCTTGGGATTATACTATTGTTAATTTTTTTAAAAGACGAAAGATTTTCTGTCTGCCAAACTTAGTACTCAGATGGGATAGAAAAGTGCGAGGCTTAACATTAAGGATTACTCAGGTTGAGTTCCTTTAAGTTTGAAGTGGGATTTCCCACTCTCTTCTAGAGGCATTGACTGTTTTGAACACAGAGACTTGATTGGTTGGATTTTTTTTTTTTTTTATATTGAGGAACCTGAAAAACAATAGTCTTGTAAAGAAATGGTGGCCTCAGCAAGAAAGTTAACTCCATCACCAGAGCCAACATCCACAGGAATGTTTTCCTCAACTGGTGTTCAGTATATTGTTTTCCTGTATGAGTGTTATTAATTTGTTCAGAGTTATTTTGGCTTTTGTCATTTAGCCAAATAAAAGCAAAGTGGTTTTACCTAATGTTTTATTTTCTGTGTTTTGACCTGATATACATGTGTATGATACCTTTTATGAACTGAGGTCTTTTTCCTGTACCCTCAATTCATTTGCTTTTGCACTCTAATTTATCTTCTCCAAATCAAGCTCCATGACCATATTATTGGGGCTTCCTTTTTCAGCTTGGCACAGAAGACTTAAAAAGCCATTGTCCCACAAAGGGAGGCTGACCTAGATCTCACAGGTCTGATGTCATCTGTAAGGAAAAGAATACCTTCGATCTATTCTTCAGAAGCCTGGTTCCTTTGAGGTTTTGGGCTTGTACTATTATTTTGCCTGAGTTCTACTCTTATTCTTATATCAGACAAACTACCATAGACTTCCCCCTTTCATTTGCTTTGGGAAAACTCAGAGTGACCTTTCAATATACAAACTTTAAGGGCTGATACTGGCACCCATGATAGCAATGTGCCCAGTTACACAGTTTCAAACTCCATCCTGTTTGTCTATTATAAAACTTGTTAGCTTTCCCAGGCAAGATCCAAAACAATTTCATCCTATTACAGAATTCACCTTCATCTCTATAGTCAAATGTAATTCGCCAGCTTGTACTGACAATGGAATCTTTCCCATTTGGTCAGTATTGAGGGACAGTAAAGAAATCTTGTGCCCATCTCATGGGTACAGTATCTCTTTCATTGTCCAAGCCATCCGCCTCAGGCTTTGAGGTTCAAATCCAGGTCTGGAGAAGAGAAAGATTCATATCCAACATTGTCGTCTTTCCTTCTGTAGTATATTCGTGTCAGCACAGTTATCAGAAAAGTCTCCAGTACAAGGAGGTGGCAATTCATCACTGCAGTGTGGGGTGAAACACAATGAAGGTTACATTAAATTATAGAGGTGCTATCCCACCAGCAGCCCTAGCACGTGAGTTGAACAACACTTTCTGCAGTTTATCCTCAAATCAGGGCCTAGAGGTTGTCTGAGTAACACAGCAGGTTACTGGTAGAGCCAAAACCAGAACTTGGCTCTCAACCTGCAGTCTGAGGCTAACATCAAACCTCATTTCTTTGGTGCATTTTATGTCCTTCCAAACCACGCCCATTTCTTTCTCAAGAGCTAGGGACTGAACCCGTGACTTCCTGGGTTGGCCATCAAGGCTGGCCTCAAACTTGTAGAACTGCAACTCCCTTCTGTGTGATCAGAGAAGTCATAGTCTCCTTAAATCTCTGCTGGGATTCTTGGAGGTCCCTTTCTGAGTGTTTGGGGCAGTGGCCCGCCTGGCCCAACCTCTGTTCTAAGGCCTTCTCTTCCCTGACCCTTCCCCTCTCACCCGTGTCCATGGAATGAGACCCATGGAACGAGATAGGAGCTTCTATGTGCTCACCTTGAGACCTGATTTTAGAGGAAAAGGGAGGCGAACAAGCAATCTGCCCACCATTGGCCAAGACTGAGAAGATGGATGGCTGCAGGGCAGTCAGGATGAGCAGCACCTGCAGGAGGGAAAAGAGGAGTGAGGGCAGGGTGGGCCCAGCGTGCGTGGCGCTGAGGCCAGCTGGCCCAGTGCCTTGCTTGTCCTGCTGCTGTGCTTTCGGCCAACCTTTAGTTGTGCGCTGTTCCAGAAGATTGAGATTCCCTTGATTAAAATTTGGTGGCGTTCCTAATCTTTAGGAAAATTGTAACCTCATCTTCCACCAATATTTTATGAGATTTCCTGACAAGAAACAACAAGAACTGATTGGGGGTTCAAGTTTATTCCTCTATTTTTGGCCATAGTTGCTAAGGAGCACTTCATGGATGGAAAGGGTGGATGATTAGGGAAGAGTCAGTCCATCTACCTCAAGTATCTGAGATCCCTGCTGACAGAATGATGGACACCTAACGATTAAAGAGCCCTCTGAAGAATCTCTGCTATGCCAGGGGCTGAGGGTGAAGGGGGAAAGGGGAATTAGTGTTCAATGGGTGCAGAGTTTCTGAGAGGAAGATGAAGTTCTGGGCATGGGTGGTGGTGATGGTTGTACAACAATGTGAATACACTTAATGTCACTGAACTGCACATGTGAACATTGTTAAAATTATAAATGTTATGTATATTATACCCCAATAAAAAAAGAAGAAGAAAAAGATAATCTCTGTCCAGAGGCCCCAAGAACACCATTTGTCTTAGCACTTGCTCTCTTCAAGGCAAGGCAGACCCAGCTAGTCCAGGCTTCCCCACAATGATCACAGGCCGGCTGGGCAGTCACAGGCTTTTACCCTGAGGCCTGCCCCTAAGTGCTTCTGGGGCCCAGATCCTTTCTGCCCCGCAGCCCCTGACTACACTTCAGGCCCTTCTTTCTCTTCCCCTAGGCACTTCCATTCTACCTACTATGTCCTGGAAATTCACACTTCAGAGACTTTTTCTTAGAGCAAATGATAATTCAATTGAAATCACACTGTTAACTATAATGCAGTTATCATTTCTTGAGAGTAGGAGGAGGGTCCAGCAAGGAGATAAAACAAATGGAGAAAGAAGGAAAACAAGATATTGCATTTGGTGGAAAAGTTGTCTTTGGACTTGGAGAATGGAAAGTGTAAAAAGTGAACAGATGTGCCTTGGAGAAAACTTTCAGAAGAGGCGTGAAGACGAGAGGCAGTGTGATGAGAAGAAGGGGTGTGGGTTGGGGAGTGAGACAGATCTGAGTTTAAATTCTAGCCTATCCCTATGTGCCTTTGAGCAAGTCCCATAGCATCTCTGGGTCTCTGTTTCCTTGTTTGTAAAATAAAAAGAATAATGACTTCTAAGATTATTGTGAAAACTAAAATGGAACGTATGAAAAGTGCCTAGCATATGGTGAAGGTAGTTCATGCGGTAGCTGAGATAATGCTGCTGCCGCTGCTGCTGCCACTGGTGGTGAATTACAGGGTTTTAGGAAGTAATCATAGAAAAGAAAAAAAAAAAGGCAGAAGAATTTAGGGTTTGATAATACACGTGTTATGGGTTGAAATGTGCCCCCCACAAACAGATGTATTGAAGTCCTAACCACAGTACCTCAGAATGTGGCCTTATTTCAAAACAGAATCATTATTTCAGTTAACTAATTATATGTGATTAGTTAAGATGAAGTCATACTGGAGTAAGGTGGGTCCTTATTTGAATTTGACTTGTGTCCTTATAAGAGACACAAGACACAGTCACATGAGGGGAGAAGGCCATGTGATGACAGAGGCAGAAATTGGAAGGACAATGCTGCAAGTCAGGAAATGCTGAGAGAGCTGGCAAACCTGCAGAAGCTAGGGAGAGACAAGGAAGCATTCTCCCCTGCAGGTTTCAGAGAAAGCATGGCCCGGATGACAACTTGATTTTGGACTGCTAGCCTCCAGAACTGTGACAGAATATAGTTCCGTTGTTTTAAGCCACTTGGTGGCATTTTGTCACATCAGCCCTAGCCATAACAATTTCAGCACAGAAGAGCAAAAACTGGGGAGTGGCAGGGATCGTTTTCCAAATCTCACAGGAAACCTAAGGCTTAAGAAGATTCCCAGACCTGCTTTCAGCCTCTATTAGTCTCACCTCCTAACCCCAATTATTTGTAGCTCTGGTATGAACCATCTTTTCTCTCTCAGGGTGTAGTTACCTGGAATAGAACAAATTTGGCTCCTATGTTCTGCTCGCCCAAGTGCAGCTTGGCTTGACGGAAAAGGATGCCCAGGGTCCAGAGAGCCAGCAGGGTGGATACACCGAGGAAAGTGTTGATCCATAGAGCTGTGCTCTCCTCAGAAATCTGGTGGCAGACCAAACAGGAGTCAGTGAGGGAGACAAGCCCTTTTCTTTCCTTTATTTCTTCCCCCAGGGTGGAACAGTTAATTAAAAAAGCCCCATAGCCTTGGCCTGTTCCAGTCCCCTCTCTCCCGCCATAGGCCCTGAACCTCTATTTTTCCGCAGTCGCCCTGCCCCCAGGTAGCAGGAGATGTTGCACCAGCCATTCCTTCTAGAGCTCAAAGCTAGTAAGTGAGTCTTGGCCTTAGCTGCCCCTTACTGCTGGCTTACATCTGCTGGGTCATAGATGCCGTCAGGGATGAGAAACAGGCCCACCAGGCCCAGCATTATCTTGAAGAAGGCATACTGGAATGGGCCCAACATCAGCAGCTGAAGCTTTTTCCTGAGGGGAGAAGAGGGTTAGGAACGTGGGCCCACAGCCCACCCTCCCCAAGAAGACTCATCTTCCTCACTGGGCTCCTGGGCTGTGGGGCTTGACTGCCATCAGAGACATCAAAATGGTTAAATGGATGGGGACATAGGAAGAAGTCAGGATGTTGAGAGCATTGGCAATTCTTCTTGCTTCCCACTCACTCCTAGACCAGAATGCTGCCTTTTGAGTGTTGACCCAATCTCATTAACCACAATGAGAAAGAGGGGGCAAGTAAAGAGCCTACAGTCCAGCTTGCTCCCTGTGGCTACACTTTGTAGGTGGCAGTGGGCCTAAGCGACGGGAACTTTGGAGTTCTCCTTTTTCTGCTCTCCTTACTCCTGGGTGGGAGGCCCAGGATGCCTACCCTTTCATCATTGGGTTTGTTCCATACAAGACTAATTCCAGGAGGCTTGAAGGAGGGCTGAGAGAGCCAGCAGATGCCCTTGGGAGAGTACAGGAAGAGGTAACCTTTGCTCCGAGGATGCCTCCCCCTCCTGTCTTACCTGGTGAGCATGAGTTTGGGGCAGCAGGGGCAGCAGCAGCAGCAGGGGCCCGTATGGATCATCATCGGTGTGTCCTTCAGTGTCCTCACTACTGCCTCCTTCCCGCCAAAGCCTTCCACCATGACCTGCATCAGCAGGTAAAAGCACACCGCATAAAACCTGGAGTGGGGGGAGAATTGGGCCTGAGAGTACACAGAGGAGAGGCAGTAGCCAGCTGAGGGGCACCCTTTGCTGCCAAAAAAGATGGACTGCAAAGGGAGTGCGGAGGGGTGGGGCTTACTGACGCGAGCATCGGAGGGGCTAGCCATTCTGAACGTGTGACCCAAGAGAAGTGACAGAAGAGGACAGCGTCCCGGGGCCTGGGGAGGGGGAGATTTCAGGCTGTGGGGATGAAATGGTGGCTGAGGGTAAACACATCCAGAAGTTCAAGAGACCTGAGTTAGCACAAGTTGGAAAGAGATCAATTCATGATTAATACTAATTGGTTTGCAGGGATCTGTGGAAGGAATAGGGAATAAAAGAAGACATGGGTCTGGAGTCCTGGGTGAGTGGGGAGCGGAAGGGGACTCCAAAGGGGTACCGGGCCCGGAGCTGGGGGCAGCAAGACACTCACGAGGTTATGGCCATTTCCACGAGCATGAGGGAACGAGGGATCCAGAGACCAAAGCAGCAGAACACAGACACCACCTGCTTGGCAAGGAGCAAGAAGCCAGTTAAGGGAAGGAGGGAGACTTTGTGTTCACCCTCTTGAAAATTTCATGACAAGGGCTCAAGGAAGCAAAACCTAAACATCTGAGGTACTATTACTTAAAAGTGGCCGGCTGGAAGAATCACTAATTGAATTTTAAACATTTTTTTAAATTTAGCTGTCAGTTCCTTCTACGTCTTGGGTTAGAGACAATAAGTCACCTTGAGTCAGGGGCTTTTTTGAAGACTCTCTCATCCTATATCCCTGGGACAGGAGTAGATAAGTTCATCCTTAGGAGTAAGAGGACCAAGATCCAGCTCTTCCTTTTCAAAATCCCATGTTATTGGAGCATCACTGACAACTTGAGATGGCCCAGGCAGATGTCATCAGGCAGGAAAGGACCTCACGGGCCCCAGTATCCACCCAAACGGGCACTCAGAGCTCACCAGAAGGAAACCGAAGTCCAACTTTATGGTCTATGAGCAAGCCAAAGGCTTTCATAATGGCTGTGGGAGTTTCAAAAGCCTACAGCGTATGGGTAGAGCTAAGTGTGACCCCATGGGGAAAAAATTCTTTCCCTCCTACACTGAGGAAGCTCAGCTTGTCCATACAAAAAGAAGGCTTGCTTTTAACAGCAATACTGTGGTGGAGGAGTGATTGGGCCACTGGTGGCTGAGTGGTTTCTTTCACTGTCACTGTGGCTCTAAGAACTCAAAAACTCCATCCCACTGCCTGTTGACCTTCCAAGTGCGGGGCCCTGAATGCAAATGGGGATCAGATTAGAAGCCTCCACCCTAAGGTGGTAGAGGCAGGCAACCCTTTGTTGACTTGCATTGTTGAGTTTAGAGGAATTCTCAGAAGGGTCCCTGCCTCCTCTCCAGTCCCTCCCAAAGGGCAAACTACAGGGCCCTCACCGTGGGTGCAGAGCTGATCCACAGCAGCGTCCTCCTCTTGATGGGGCAACGGGTGTTCTTGTACAGGTAGATGGCATCCTCCAGGAAGATGGCAATTGAGCCCAAGGCAAGCAACGTCATGATGACCGTGAGGGCAATTTCCACAGGGCCCAGTGCTAGAGTGGAAAGAGGGCAGACTCCAGTGAGCTGAAGACCAGGACTGAGAGGCAGGAATGTGGCTTCCTCACTGGGATCTAAATTGCTTTACTATATACAGAATTATCTGGCCTAGGCTCCCACCCATGCAGAAGAATGGCTTTTTCTTAGACCTAGAAAATCCAACATGTGGCTAAAAAATAATCATTCTTCTGCATGGATGGGAAACTAGACCAGATAATTTGGGGTATAGTGAGGTTTACCTGAACAAGGGTGCAGACACCCAACAAGTTTTTACATAATCAGCAAAAATCTTGGAGCATGAGTTCAGTAGGGCCTATTCACTTTTCTACCTCTAGTGCCATGTGTCATGCTAGCAAACAGGCCAATTAACATTATAATTAAAGCAGAATGTAATTAGTGGTCTACTTTAGAGCTGCTTGAATTTGATCTCAAAAATTATGTCATGAAACTGGGACATTAAGAAGGGATTTTAACAAAAGAGAAATGGATACAAGTGAAGACTCCAGGGACCTTTGACCCATGTTGGTCTCACACTTAGTCTTACATTAAATGTGGCCCAATAGCTCTCCTTAGTGTTTATTACATTTATCTGAGTTGTTAAAGAGTAGCTGTCCAGACTCTACCCTTAGAGATGCTGCTTCAGTAAATCTGGGATGGGCCCAGTAACTGTATTTTTAACAAATTCACCTGATAATGGTCAGGGGATAAACATTTTGACAAACATCAGTGAAGCTCCTCAGGCCTCACAATTGCTAACAAAGAAATTAATCAAGTTACAGTATGTTTTTCTGAACATGTGACTCATCAATGTAACAACTAGTTTTAAAGTTTCCTGTGTCCTTAGTGACTAAGCCCAGACCCTCATTTATCTAAGCCTCTTCTCTAGTTGGCAGACTGGCTGCTTTCCACCTCCTAACTGGCTAGATGAGAGGATGAAGGGGGAAAGGAAGGAAGCCTGTCAGAGCCCAGTCCACTGTCCTCTTGCATTGGGAGTAAAGTATGAGAAAGTTATTGGCTAGTCTGCCCTATGTTTTGGTGACTGAGGGCAGCTCAGTCAGAGGGATAATACTGCCAAAACCAAACCAGGGAGGAAGGAAGCCACACCACAGTAGAGACCTGTCATCTGCATCAGTCATACCTGCTGGCACCACAAGGAACAACCAGGCAAAGGTGAATCTGTCCAAAAATATCATGACGATCCCGGTGGCTTTTCAGAGCACACATTTTTCTCTTTGTTTGCTTTCTCTAAGAGAGGCCCTTTATCTCTGATCACAATCAGGTCTAACGGACAATCCAGAGGACCTGCCATGGGAAAGGTAGCCCTTGGTTTCCAGCTCCCAAGCAGGACTTCTGAAGATAGTAGTAAACTTTTCCTTTCTACCACAGGCCATAGAAGACAGGATCGTGCTGTTTTTCTTTCCTCCAACCCATCCCTTTTCTCCACTCAGCTCTATTTAGTTAGACTGGGTGTCTGAATGACTGGCTTAGCAGGGTGATCACACTGTAAGGTATAAAAATGTCAAATCACTGTATTGTACACCGGAAATTAATATAACTAATATAACAACTATGTGTCAATAAGAAATAAAAATAAATAAATAAATGACTGGCTTGGCATTGCTGGTATTGTTTAGTTCTGTTGCTTCTTTCTCAATTACCTCTCCAGACACCGGCAGGAAGGGCCAAAACAGGCAGCTGGGGCAGAGAGAACGTGCTAGCAAGGCAGCGGCTGGAGGACTGGGCAGTCCCACATTCACATGCGGTTAAAGTGGGAGGAACAACTGGGAAGCGAGATAGACTGCGCAACCCCGGGTTCCAGTGTGGGGAAATAAAGCCTCAAAACCTCTGGCTGTAAAAATCTACAGGGGTTGTGGCAGCAAGAGAAACCCCCTGTCTCACAGGAGAGTTCGTTGGAGAGACCCACACGGTCCTAGAACATACACAAACCCACCCATCCAGGAATCGGCATCAAAAGGGCCCCATTTGCTTGTGGGTAGCGGGGGAAGTGACTGAAAGACAGTCAAGAGCCAAGCAAGCGGCATTGCTCCCTTTCAGACCCCTTCCCCATGTACAGTGTCACAACTCAGAGACCTGAGTTGCCCTGCCCTGGCGGATACCTAAAGCTCTGCTCCTTCCAACATAACAGGCACGCTGAGACAAAGGAATATGGCTCAAATGAAAGAACTGATCAAAGCTCCAAAAATAGAACTAAGCCATGAAGAGATAGCCAACCTATCAGATGCAGAGTTCAAAACACTGGTAATCAGGGTGCTCACAGAAAATGGTTGAGTATGGTGGCAAAATGGAAGGAAAAATGAAGGCTATGCAAAGTGAAATAAAGAAAAACATACAGGGAACCAACAGTGAAGAGAAGGCAACTGGGACTCAAATCAACGATTGGGAGCAGAAGGAAGAGATAAACATTCAGCCAGAACAGAATGAAGAAACAAGAATTCAACAAAATGAGGAGAGGTTTTGGAACCTCTGGGAAAACTTTAAATGTTCCAACATCTGAATCATAGGGGTGCCAGAATGAGACAAGGAAGAGCAAGAAATTAAAAACTTATTTGAAAAAATAATGAAGGAGAACTCCCCCAATCTGGCAAAGGAAATAGACTTCCAGGAAGTCCAAGAAGCTCAGAGTCCCAAAGAAGTTGGACCCAAGGAAATACACACCAAGGCACATCATAATTACCTTACCCAAGATTAAAGATAAGGAGAGAATCTTAAAAGCAGCAAGAGAAAAGGAGGCAGTTACCTACCAAGAAGTTCCCATAAGATTATGAGCTGATTTCTTGAAAGAAACCCTGCAGGCAAGAAAGGGCTGGCAAGAAGTATTCAGAGTGGTGAAAGGCAAGGACCTACATCCAAGATCGCTCCATCCAGCAAAGCTATCATTTAGGATGGAAGGGCAGATAAAGTGCTTCCCAGATAAGGTCAAGTGAAAGGAGTTCATCATCACCAAGCCCTTATCATATGAAATGTTAAAGGGACTTACCTAAGAAAAAGAAGATCAAAAACTATGAACAGTAAAATGACAACAAACTTCACAACTATCAACAACTGAACCTGAAAAAAGCAAGAGCAAAAACAAAAACTGAGCAAACAACTAGAACAGGAAGAGAATCACAGAAATGGAGATCAGAGGGAAGGGGGACTGGGAGAATGGGGGAAAGGGTACAGGGAATAGGCAGCATAAATAGTAGGTACAAGATAGACAGGGGGAGGTTAAGAAGAGTATAGGAAATGGAGAAGCCAAAGAGCTTATGTGTACGACCTGTGGGCATGAACTGAAGTGGGGAGGGGGGTGATGCTGGGGTGGGGGGAGGGCGGCGCAGGGCAGAGGGGGATAAAGGGGAGAAAAAAGTGGAACAACTGCAATAGCATAATCAATAAGATATACTTAAAAAATTATTAGGTCATAGGAGATGAGAATCTTAAGTTACAGATGTCTACTCTCCAAACGGTTATACCAATTTGTAATCCCACCTGTAGTCTATGAGTTCACAGTTCACTTCAATTTCACCTTCACTTGGGATTATCAGGCTTTTTACTTTGCCTATAAGAGTGTAGTGAGATGATATTTTATTATTTAACTCTTGGTTCTTTAATTCCTAAGGAAATAGACAATCTTTCTGTATATTTATTGGACATTTGGGTTCCCTCTTCTGTGAATTGTCTGTTCGTGTATTTTATCCAATTTTTATCGGGTAATTTTTCTTAATACTGAATATTCATCTTTTGTTGGTTATAGGCTTGAAAATGTCTTCTCCCAGTCTGTAGGTTGACTTTTACCATTGTTTATAGAGCTTTTTAGTTGCACAGACATTTGTTTGCTTTATGTAATCAATCTCCATGATAATTTATGCTTTCTTGTGTTTAAGAAATGATTCTCTACTCTCATTAAGATAGCTTTCTATTTTATTTTGTACAAATGCTTGCATTTTACATTTAGGTATTTGATCAACCAGGATTGAAACCATGTTGGAGCTATCTTCATGCCTCTTTATCTGCCATAGGGACAGGCAATTGTCCAGCATCACTTCTTTTTTTTTTTTAAATTTATTTACTTTTTAAATACATTTGTCTCTGCCTCCCCCCCACCGCTTTCCCTTGCCCCTCCCTCCTTCCCTCCCTCAGCTCTTCCCCTTTGGTTTTGTCCATGAGTCCTTGCTATATGTTCCTTGACTTTCCCCTTCCCTTCCCTTTCCCTGCCCCGCCGCTTCCCTCTTGTCTCTGTTGATTTCTTTTCCTTTCAGTGTTGCTGGTCATATTTTCCTTGCATCTTTGCATTGTTGGTTAGGTTCCGCTTATAGGTGAGATCATATGGTATTTGTCTTTCGCCCCCTGGCTTATTTCACTTAGCATGATGCTCTCCAGTTCCATCCATGCTGTCGCGAAGTTTAGTAGTTCTTTTTTTCTTTCTGCTGCGTAGTATTCCATTGTGTGTATGTACCATTACTTTTTGATCCAATCATCTACTGATGGATATTTAGGTTGCTTCCAACACTTGGCTATTGTAAATTGTGCTGCTATGAACATTGGGGTGCATAGGTTCTTTTGTATTGGCATTTTGGTGTTCTTAGGGTATAGTCCCAGCAGGGGAATCACTGGATCAAAAGGCAGTTCCATTTTCAGCTTTCTGAGGAAATTCCACACTGCTTTCCATAGTGGCTGCACCAGTCTGCATTCCCACCAACAGTGGACTAGGGTTCCCTTTTCTCCACAGCCTCACCAGCACCTGTTGTTTGTGGATCTGTTTATGATGGCCATTCTGACCGGTGTGAGGTGGTACCTCATGGTGGTTTTGATCTGCATTTTTCTGATGGCTAGTGATGCTGAGCATCCTTTCAAATGCCTCTGGGCCCTCTGTATCTCCTCCCTAGAAAAGCATCTGCCCAGGTCCTTCGCCCATTTTTTGATTGGATCGTTTGTCTTCTTGGAGTGGAGTCGAGTGAATTCTTTATATATCTTGGAGATCAAACCTCTATCTGATGTATCATTAGCGAATATATTTTCCCATACGGTTGGCTCCCTTTTCATTTTGCTGATGTTTTCTTTCGCCGTGCAGAAGCTTCTTATTTTGATGAGGTCCCACTTGTTTATTCTTTCCTTTATGTCCCTTGCTTTAGGAGACATATCAGTGAAAAAATGGCTGCGTGGGATATCTGAGAGTTTCCTGCCAATGTTCTCCTCTAGGACTTTGATGGTGTTGCGACTTATATTTAAGTCTTTTATCCATCTTGAGTTTATTTTGGTGTATGGTGTCAGCTGATGATCCAATTTCAATTTTTTGCATGTAGCCATCCAGCTCTCCCAACACCATTTGTTGAAGAGGTTGTTATTGCTCCATTTTATGCTTCTGCCCCCTTTGTCAAATATTAGATGTCCATAGAGACCTGGGCTTATTTCTGGGCTTTCTATTCTGTTCCACTGGTCTATGGATCTGTTCTTGTGCCCGTACCAGATTGTTTTGAGTATGGTGACTTTGTAGTAGAGTTTGATGTCCGGTATTGTGATCCCTCCTACTTTGTGTTTCTTTCTCAAAATTGCTGCAGCTATTCGGGGTCGTTTATGGTTCCATATAAATTTTTGAAATGTCTGTTCTATTTCTGTGAAATACATCATTGGTATCTTAATAGGGATTGCGTTGAATCTATAAATTGCTTTGGGTAGTATGGACATTTTGAGGATATTAATTCTTCCAATCCATGAGCACGGTATATGCTTCCATTTATTTGTGTCTTCCTTAATTTCTTTTTTCAATGTTGTATAGTTTTCTGAATACAGGTCTTTTGTGTCTTTGGTTAAAGTTACAGCATCACTTCTTGAAGAGCACATTCTGCCCCACTGAGTGGGCACGGGATCATTCCTGAGCCCTGTATTCTGTTCTATTTTTCTACTTGTCAGACCCCTTGTAGTTATTGCCTTGTTACCTTAATTACTCTAGTCTTGTTATAAGCCTTAACCTCTGGTAGGGCAGGCCTTGGCTTTACATGGTTCCTTACAGTTATATATAAAGGCTTGGATCGGTCCATTTTTAAAAAATCTTGTAAGGATCATAATTGCAATCATATCAGGCATTTCAAAAACAGGTTATTGAGCGATTCAGTAATTCTTCCAGAATAGCACTTTCTTAAATGGCATTTATTTTAAGGAATAACACAGTTGACAGCTGAAGAAGGAAGGGGTTCCTCCGCGTCCTCAGGTGGGAGCCTCTTCCAGACTCTCAGGTTCCTGGCAGTATCATCGCCTCTGCCCTGGTCCCCGAGTCCACACGAGAGGCTCTTTTTCCTTCTCTTACCGCGCCTAGGTATTTATTTACCAGATGGCCTGCTTTTTCTTCACATTTCCTGTGTTTCCTAACTTTCCCTTTCTTTCCCTGACATTGCTGTGACTCAGACCCTTGTCCCTCATGCTGGGCTGGGGCAATAACCCCTGGTTTATACCGCCCCCCCCCCCCCCCCCCCGCCTCGCTTCTCAAAGTTCTTCTTCCTTGAAGTCCAGTCCGATGATTGATTAATGGTCCTGAGGCACTATCCAGCCCGTCCCAACCTCAGAGCCCTCACCAGGCTCCTCCTGTTTATAGGATAAAGTACAACTCTTCTGCCTGACACTCACTGGGCCCCACCTTACCTGCCCAGCCTCTTGATTGTCCCCTTCTTCCCCACCAGCAACCTTGAATCCCTGCTGTCTGGGGGACCTGCCTGCTCATTCTGTCTCATCCCCGCCCAGCAGGGCTCACCACCTGCCCGTCGCTCTCCGATGCCGCCCCCTCCAACAGTTCCACCTGGGAACAGGCAGCTCACCGGACTACCAGGCCCAGAACGGTCTCCCTACTTTGAACGTCCTTGATGCTTCTATTTTGCACACTTTGTAGCCAAGCAATGTGAGATTCATTTTCACTGCATAAGGCAGGGTTTCTCAGTCTCAGCACCCCTTGACACTTTGGCCAAGAGAATTCCTTGTGGGAGCTTTTCCTTTGTTTCCAGGGCAGCATCCCTGGCCTCTTCCCACTAGATGCCAAGTAGCATCCTCTAGTTGCGACAACTGAAACCATCTCCAGACATTGCCAAAAGTCCCCTGGGGGACAAAATTGACTCTGGCTGACAACCACGGGTGTAAGGGAAGACTGTATCACCAGCTGCACTATGTGAACAAGAGGTTCCTGGGGCTAGATGTAGCAGCTGCCTACCGACGGGTTGGAGGTTTCTCTGGACACTCTCTGGCAGTTGGCGTTCACCCTGGTTCAGAGCATCTGAAACAAGGCTGAACACTGTTCAAGGACATGCTCATTTGTGCCTCCTAATGCACACTGTCTACATCCTGTTGTTCAGAAAGAGTCTACTCCTTGCAGGAAGGAGTTTGGGAAAAGCATTTAGGCACCATAGAGACACAGGCTCCTATTTATCAATATCTCAGAGGTAGTTAATCACGCAGTAGGAAAATTAAACAAAATGTGAGTGAGCAACATTTGCTGTGAAGATGCTGGGGTCATTTGAATGTCATGTCTTATGCGTCCAGGACATAAACTAAGTTCCATCTTCAGCCTTTCACTTTTAAAGCAGTTCAGTGATGGGAGTCTAGTTGGCGGGCATGGTGAGAATACTTTTACAGGTTCACCTAAGTTTTAAGAATGTCATTCCTAATAACCATCCCTTTTGAATGATATAGGGCCTTCCCCAAGAAGGCTGCTGTGCAGGCCTCAAGGGGATCTTGTGGGACTTGGGTCATTTGAACAGCATCTTGAGTCCCCCGGATGGTCCTGGGATCTGAAAAATGCTCTAGGCCAGGGTCCCCAGTCTGAAGGAGTTCTGAGGCTAGGATAGGAGGGAGGCCCAACACACAAGTCAGTCTCCTGGGCTAGGTTGCCATGCTCCTCTTTTGGCCTATTGGCTCCTTGAGGAGTTGTTCTCCTCCAAGGCCTTAACCATGGTAGACAAACACAGGGCCAGCCATCCTCCCAGGCTCTCCAGGCTGGCCAGCCGAGGGCCACTGCTCCTCTGTCCTCTCAGCTGTCCTGACTTACCACAGGGATTCTCATTTTCTCCTTTTAGTTCCCTCTGGGGAAAGTCCCCAACTCACCTCTCAGAAGTTGGGCCGCAGTGGGAGGGAGAGAGAAGCAGGCAGAGGGGATGTTGTAATTGGTTTTCAGTACTTCCACAAGATCTGCCGTGTACCTGGAGAGACACGGCCTGCGTTCAGATACCTGCATTCAGATAGCCTTCTGGACAGGGGAGGGCACCAGAAGGGATGCCAGTTACTGGACACTCCCTCAAACACTTCTGGGTTCAGGGAGCTTGTCCATTTCGCCTCAAGTTTCTGGTTCTTGGGGGGAATGGAGAATGGGTCCCATCTAGTATGTAAGGCAGCCTGCCACCTAGGCCGTGGATAGGCCTGGTCGCAGTGTCCACACAGCCCACAGTTCATTCACTTCATGTCCCTTGGGGCAGCAGCCAGGGAGAAAGAGCAGAATCCCAGGGAAACAGCAGATCCTTAGCACTAGGGGTGGGTCCCCAGCTGATGGGGGTTCTGTGCATGTACCCTCCTCCCCCAGCTCCTAACTCTGGGATCTTTCTCTCCTTGAATGGGGAGAGAAAGCCAACGCTCTGAAGGGTCATGTGCTGGCCAAACCCCACAGTGTCCCTGAGGACCTCAGGGACAGATAGAGCGTTATCAGTTCTGTATCATTCTGTGTGCTGGAAACCAAAAGGAAGGGGGGAGGGACAGGCCAGAGCGATAGAGTCCACCTGCTGCATAGCAACTGGCTTCTGGCTCGGGACCTGCCGCCCTCACTCACCTGGGGTCAAGCTTTATCTGAATCTTGTCTGGCTCCATTTCTTCTCTCCCTCGCCGGTTCTCGATTCCCGTTCTTAGCAGGCACTGAATGGCAAGGAGGGGCAGGCAGGTGGGGGCCCTAAGGTAGGTGGCTCCCGGCCCTGCTGACTGGCAGCCTTTCCCCAAAGTACTCAGACAGAGGATAGGTAGAGTGGCTGGGTCGTCTACACTGGCTCTCACCCTCCTCAGGCCTCCGTGCTCACAATTCCTATCTCAGAGTTCATCCTAGAGTAATTTGAAATTTGATCCTCTCAGCTGGCTGAGTTCCCAAGTTCCTGACTCCTCCCAGTCCCCTGGGTGAGGTCCCTCCTGACTCCCTCCCATAAATACCTTAGCCATCCTTTGCCCCTGGCCTACCCTTATCTTTTATCTTCCCCACTCCCTCGCCCCCTAGAAGGCTTCTAGGGTGGTGGTAGGGACAAAGTTCTCGATCTTCCCCTCAGTGCCCCCTGGTCAACAACTACTTCTCCCCAGGAACCTGGCTGGAACTCAGACTCTGGGCCCTGGGGTGGGAGAATTGGGGCTGAGGTCTTGACTGTGTTGGTGCTGGTGGCTTAGTATGTGGAGAGAAGGGATAGCTGGAAAAGCCAGATGAGACCCCTGTGAGTTTTCCAAAGCCCGGCCCACAACATCGTGATGGAAGATTTATCCAGCCAAATGGCAGCCAAAGGTGCAGCAAATGGGAGAGGGAGGTTGTATGTAAGAGGTAGAGTGGTGAATGAAATTTCTGAGCATATTGACAGTTTGGTTTTTAAACTGTACCAAATTGCTTGTGAATTAGTTTATTAATTGTTAATTTTTCTTCTCTCTCCAAATAGACTTAAACCTATCTAAGGCCAAGCTCGGTACCCCTAGATTACTGGTACAGGGCCTGACACACACTAAGTGCTCCTTAGAATTGGCTGCCTGGCTGATAAAATAATAAAATCACAGCAGCAGCGGCATCAGCTAAAGTCTATTGAGCACCATATGGTACAGGAAATGCAAAGTTACTTATCTCGTTTAAACCTTACCATCTCTCTCTAAGGGTAAGTGCTATCTTTATTTCCATTTCACAAGTAAGGAAACTGAGGGTGAGAGAGGTTATGACACCAGGTTGAGTAGAAAGCCACCGAGGTATGGAGAGAGGCAGAAAGGACCTGGGTTGGGGCTCTACTGAGGTTCAGGTAAAGACGTTTGACAGTAAGAGAGGGCCAATGAGAGGGTCAAAAAGAGTCCGTTCTGGGGGGCAGAGGAGGCTCTCTGACCTGGGCTGGCGAATAGATATAATCAGAGGAGCAGCTACTGAGGTGGTACCAGAAAACTGCCTACTCCTGTCTCAAACACTGCAAAATACCTTCCGAGGATCAAGCAGAGTCCTCTCCCTCCTTTACTCTCCACAGTTCTCAAGGCAGGACAATGTAGGGATCCAGGAATCTCAAGTGCCCAATTACCCCCAAAGGTGGAGGTCTGGACACAGCCAGAAGAGGGGCACTGACCTCCAGAGGGTCAATTGCCTGGGGCCCGCCCTGACAGTCATTTCCTGAAACCATTTCCACAGGAATGTTCCCTGGGTCATTCACCTCTAGTGCAGTGAGAGGCCTTGGGCTTAATTGCCCAAAGCCCTGAACTTTAGATTTCCTTAAAGCAGATAACATGTGCTGAAGATATTCTCCGAAACTTCTTCAGGACAGAACTGGGGGAGGCAGCAGAAGGGTGTTGAAGAGCAGGAAGGAGTCTGGAAAGATTGGTGACTAGGCTGGTATTCAGTCTTCCAGAACCTGGCAGCTGAGAGGTCCAGGGGAGACTGGATAATTCTCAGGATGGATGATGGTGGAGAAATGGGAAGGTGCTGGTGAGAGGGAAGGCTTTAGCTCTGATGGGCTGCATCTGCTCCACCCGAAGCCCTAAGTGACTCTCTTCTAGATGGTGTGACCCATGAATTAGTCCAGAGCAATGCCCCGACTCAAGGCCAGCTCATCCATAGCCATGGCATGGCAAGAGAAGATGAGGTCCCAGACAATCTGATTCCTTTTGTGCCCATTTTGGACTGCTAGCTGTCAAGCACTGATTTTTAGGACCAAGACGAACAAATCAGTCTTCATTTTTTTGGCTTAATTTTCCCCATGAAATTATACAATAACATGATAGGACACCTATCACTTCGGTTTTGGCTTTCTCAGTGTAAGGGACATTTCTGAAAAATCAAGATATTAAAAAAAACCCTAGTTTCATCAATTTCATCAATTTTCTCCAGGGCTCCTCAATCATTGGATATTTAAGGACTATTTTCTCTTTAAAAAAAAATCCTTAATGAGATTAAATTTATATAACATAAAGTTCACCATTTTAGTCATTTTTAAGTATACAACTCAGTGGTTTGTAGTATACTCATAACGTTGTGCAACTATCACTGTTAATCTAATTGCAGAATATTTCCATTATCCCCAAAAGAAACCTTATGCTTTCCAGTTCTTCCTTCCTCCCATCCCCTGGCAGCTATTAATTTATTTTATGTCTTTATGGATTTGCCTATTTCAGACATTTAATCTAAAATCATATTAATATGTGACCTTTAGTGTCTGACTTCTTTCATGCAGCATAATTTTTTTAAGGCTTATACATGTCTTAGCATGTATTAGTGCTTCATTCTTTTGATCAGTTAATGGACATTTGGGTTTACATTTTTTGGCTATTATAAATAATGTTGCTACTTGGCTGAGCTCATTTATTAGCTCTAATTGTGTGATTTTTAAAAAATATTTTCTTGATTTATTTTTAGAGAGAAAGGAAGGGAGGGAGAAAGAGAGGGAGAGAAACATTGATCGGTTGCCTCCTGCATGTGCCTCAACCCGGGACTGAACCCTCCACCCAGGCATGTGCCCTGACTGGGAATCCAACTGGCAACCCTTCACTTTGTGCTCCGATGCCCCACCAACTGAGCCACACCGGTCAGGGCTGTGTGTGAATTCCTTAAGGTTTTCTATATAAAAGATCATGTCATCTGCAAATAGAGGTAGTGTTCCTTTCTCCTTTCCAATGTGGATGCTTCTATTTCTTTTTCTTACCTAATTGTTTTGACTAGAACTTCCAGTACAACATTAAATAGAAGTGACAAAAGCAAGCATACTAGTCATGTTCCCGATCTTACAGGAAAAGCTTTCAGTCTTTTATCATTATGTATGAGGTTAGCTGTGGGGTTTTTATAAATGTCCTTTATCAGGTTGAGGAAGTTCTCTTTTAGTCCTAGTCTGTGGAGTGTCTTTAATCATCTGTTAGATTTTGGCAAATGCCTTTTGTGCATTGAGATAATCATGTTGTATTTTTTTTCTTCATTTTATTAATGTGATGTAGTACATTGATTGATTTTTGTACATTGAACCACTCTTGCATTCCTGGGATAAATCTCTCTTGGTCATGGTGTATAATCCTTTCACTCTGCTGCTGGGTTCAGTCTGCTAGTATTTTGTTGAGGATTTTTGCAGCTGTATTCATAAAGGATATTGGTCTGTAGTTTTTTTCTTGTGATGATTTGTCTGGCATTGGTATCAGGGTACTATTGACCTCTTAGAATGAGTTAGGAAGAACTCTTTTCTATTTCTTTTAAGAGTTTTAGAAGAATTGATGTTCATTCTTTCATGTTTTGTAGAATTAACCAATTAAGCCACAGTCCTTTTATTTTTTTAGAGGCTATGACGTTGTCAACCTTGGTGATTTTCCCTTCTTCAATTTTTAGCGGTGTAGATTTTGGGGTGATTTAAATGGTATTCCATAGTTTCTATTAACAGAAAATTCTGCTTCTTTTGCAAAGACTAAATTTCACTTTGTACTTGGCATTGTTTTATGTTGCAGTTGAGACAGAAAAAGATGCTAGTTTAAATAAAAAGTGATTTTTGACTGAGGCCTTATTGATTATTTATTAGCAAATATTTTTGTTATAATTTTTTTTAACTGAAGTAACATCATAACTGTAGGGATTCAGATTATGGTAACTAAAAATGCAAAAAGTCCCCTGAATTCTAAAATTACAAAAAAATTGAAATACATGGTGCTAAATTTAATAAGCTAATGAAACAAAAAGTCTACAAACAGACTCTGTTAGTATTCAGGATAATTATTATTTAGGGATCAGCCCCTGTAGGAGGGAAGGAAGTAGGATTGGACTAAAGGAGCAGCAGATTTGTGTTTAGGGCTGGACAAAAGTCTCAGCTAACTGGGGGGTCACCTGGGGGCCGGGATAGCCCTTCAGGATTGTTCTGCTTTGAGACAAAATGGGCCTTTATACCCTCATATTGGTAACTCCTTGGATGCAAGCCACCCCTGGAAGGAGGTGGCACATTGGGTGAGCAGTTTTCTTCTTTTGGGGGCGGGGTGGCGCAATCCCTCAAACTGAGGCTCTTACAACAGCTGGGGGGACAAAGTTCTTTATTTCTGGAGAGCAGTCTGAGGAGCACCTCACAGTGCCACCTAGAGACAGATCTTAGTATACATGAAGAACTTAGTATCGGTTGTAAATGAAAAACATATATGTGAATATACCATCCTGGTGCATGTATTTATAATGATAACTTAATTTGAAGGTTGAAAATATGATATTTATTTCCAGAAAAGTCGGCGAAAAGGCCTTGAGAAAACTTGAATTTGCCCCAGTAGGAGAAATAGTAACGCCGTGTACAGTAGTTAATCACGTGGTAACAGGGAGCATCTGGCCAGATCCCTGGGCAGAGGGGAGGGGCCCCCCTGAGAGGGGTTGGTAAGTGCCGAAGGCGGCAGGCTAGAACTCGAAATCAAAACCACGTTGACACACTTCCCTACCCTCGGGAAAGGGTAAACAACTAATGCGGCTCCTGACAGGCCTTGCGCAGAGAATGCACAGACTGCAAAGGTCACAGCACACGTAAATCATGGATGTGAACATGGTGACGTCCCCCCCTGGGCACAGATGCCATGCTCCTGTGCATGGCTAGAAACCCTCCTACCCGCTTCCGGATCATGGGGCCAGGAGGAGGGGCAGAGATGCTGTGTGGGCTGACGCACGGGAAAGACGTTAGCCTAGATTGGCTGGCAAGGTGGAGACTCTTACAGCACGCAGGATTTTGGGGTGCAAGAGCTGAACAGAAGGCACACGGAAACTCAGCTCCTTTTTTGTGTTCCCCTCACTTGCCTGGTTGCGGGGATGAAGCGTTTGCGGGATGCCGGCGGGCTTGTGGCTCTTGCCTTGCCCTTCTTGCCTGGCCGGAGTAGGTTTGCGCAGGACTTGAACCTCGCCTGCAGCAGTCTGCGGGACACTGCAGCTCTGCACCGCAGCTCTGCACCGCACAGCCCAGGTCCTGGACGGCCCCCACTCTCTCGCTCTGGGAGAAGCACACGGATGCGTGGGCTGGGAACGTTCACTGGCCCTGGGAGCACGAACAGCCTTGGAAGCCAGCTGCAGTGGTCTGGCAGCGCGCCCCGGCCCTGGGAAAGGGAGAAGGCTGCGGCAAGGCAATGGTGATGCCAGTCCCCCAAGTGCACACTCCAACGAGGGAGAGCTGGAGAGACAGACACCTATCATGTAACAGCTTTGGGCACCAGGAGGACAGATAAGCATGGAGCAGTGTGCCTGGGCACTGATTCTGGTCCTGGGGTGGCTGCCTTCTTTCTGTGTTTTGCAGAAGAGAAGGGCTTGGAACCGGGGATTCTCTACTCCCCCAGACTGGGCAGCCTTCTAATAAAGACCTTTTTTCTTCCTCACCAATTATTGTGTTATGCTTGTGTACGGCTGCAGGCAGCCGAATCCTACTTTGTGCGGTATCAATTTCAGTAGTTAAGAAATAAAATTTGGATGGTTTCTCTTTGCTAAAATCAGAGAAAGACTTTTTTGACAACACCCATGTCTGTAAATGTTAGGATACTTGGTGGTATTCTAAGTATGCATGTTTGTAACATCTTCAATGCCAAGACAGTGAATGAGAGCCGTGACTTACATTTTTAATCTCATTTTGATGTGTATTATTATTAATCTCTCTGATTTTATGATATTTAGCACCTACCGTTGCAAAAATAAAATACCCTATGGACATTTAAACAGGGTTATAACTTAGTACCATCCATGGATCTAAAAAATATATGATGTTCTGATCTGACTGGTGTGGCTCAGGTGGTTAAACATCATTGCGCAAAACGACAGGTCTCTGGTTTGAATCCCCAGTCAGGGCACATGTCTTAGTTGTGGGCTTGGTCCTAGTCAGAACAAGTGTGAGAGACTACTGATCAATGATGTTTCTCTCACACATCGATGTTTTTCTCCCTTTCTCTCTCCCTGTCTTTCCTTCTCTCTAGGAAAAACTAAATAAAATCTTTTAAAAAAGTATATTATGTCCTGAAATAAATAGGAAGGTTGGTTATCAGTAAAAAAAAGAAAAAAAGAAAAAAAAGAAAGAAAAAATGTTTTTATAGACTAGAAAATATAAGTAACAATAATTTTGTGTTGATGAGGGAGTTTTGCTCTTTATTTTAAATCAAATTAATTTCCTGAAAATGTTCCAGTTCATTTAGTCCAATTCGAAGTAAGAATCTTGAAATTACAGGTTTTATCCATGTTTAAGAATAATATAATCTGCAGTGAAATTAAAGTGACATTCAAAATGGCCATTACACTTCAACATGCCGGTGCCCTGACAACACGTGGAGCTGCTTCATTACAGCAGACTCTGTGTGACACATTCTGGGGCTGCTGCGGGCACCTAGGTCACAGGCCTGTGTGCTAAGTGTGAGGGAGGCTTCGAATGTGAGTGTTTGGCCTTTTCAGCTCCAACTGGGACAGGGAAACAGTCTTTGCCCTTCATCAGGACTTAACAGTGTGGGAAATCCTCCAAACACACAGGAGTTCAGATGCTCAATGGGCAGCCTTCTAATAAAGACCTTTTTTCTCCCCAACAATTTTTGGCTGTGGGGCGGCAGGAGGCCCCCCCCCCCCTTCCACAAAAAAGAAAAAAAACCCCCCCCCCACCCCCCCCCCCCCTGCGGCCCCCCCCAAAAAGGGAGGGGGAAAACCACATGGCTAAACCGAAAGACAAACGTCAGCAGCAGGTACAGAAAACCCAGTTATTTTCTCACATAATAACCAGCTCAAAGGTAGGCAGGTCAAGGCTGTGATTCAACAATGTCATCAATGTCATTCTGTCTGTAAAATGTTAACTTACTGCCTAATGGGTCCAAGGCGGCACCCCCAGCCGGCATGTCTAGGTTCAACACAGGAAGTGAGGGACAGAGCTGTGTCAACCATGTCTTTTTCCCCCATTCATGAGGAAGGCAGAAGCTTTTCTGAAAACCCTCAAAAGACTTTTACTTATGTCTCATTGACCAGAATTGTGTCATGAAGCCAACCATGGAAAAGAGGGAACCTAGAAAATTATTTAGCTGCCCTTCCCCAACGGGGAATTTTGTAATAGCAAAATGGAGATAGAGTGCACAATGAGCACAGCTTCAATTAGCACTGACCCTGACATGGTGATTAGAATCACTCACCTTCTCCCAATGTGTTTCTGTAACCTCATGTAGTCTTGAAGCTAACTTCCTTGCTGGGGCAGGACCTCTCGGTCCCCAACACAAGTGAGAGTGGGGTGGGTTTGATGCAAGTGACAGTCACAGGCTGCAGACAGTTCTGCTGAAGAGCCCCTGGCCCCCATTCTCCTCAGCCTCTGTGATGTCACATTGGGACTTTCCTTTGACCCTAAGCTGTGGTTTCTGGCTGTTAGGGCCATGGGGTGCCTGGAGCCAGCAGGGGAGAGGGAGCCTCATGGCTCTGATCTCCCCTGGGGGCACAGGAGGCCCAGCCATGCCGGTCTTGAAGGAGCCCCAGCCCCCACCTCCCTGGATCCTCCCCAGCCTTTTTGCTGCCTTCAATGTTGTGCTGCTGCTGGTCTTCAGTGCCCTCTTCTTTGCATTCCCGTGAGTCTACCACACAGGCTGGCGGCTTTCTTACACAGAGAGAAAGGAAAACAGATATTGATAGTACAAATGCAGGAGAAATTCAGAAGAGGGAGGTCAAGAGAAGGGAAGATATTCTAGTCAGAGGGAATTGAATGTGCAAAGGCACAGATGTATGGAGTACGTGGTCCCTTTGGGAGCTGCAGGTAGCTGGTAATACTGGGGGACATTCGGTGGAGCCTCTGTGGATCTGTCACTAGCCTGGGTATTTGGAGCAGGCTTTAAGGCCTGTGGGTCCTGAGAAGTGAGCTGGGTCCCGGTGGGAGCTTCAGGCCGCTCCGTATCAAGGCTGAGTCCTGCTTTGGTCTCAGTTGCAGGTGGCTGGCCCAGAACGGAGAGTGGGTCTTTCCTATTGTCACGGGTCCCCTCTTTGTCCTCACCTTCTTCAGTCTTGTTTCACTCAACTTCTCAGACCCTGGCATCTTGCATCGAGGTGAGACCTGGGCCCGAGAGAAAGAAGTAGCACCCTAAGGGCTCCTGCCTATAGGGACGATTCCTAAAGTGCCCCTTCCATTTCTCCTGCTATGGCCTCAAGGCCTGTTGCCCCAAGTCCTCATTTGCTTGGGCCCTGCTTCTGGCACTTCATTTCCCAGGGCTGGAGATGTGGAAAGCAGAATTCTGGAGGTTTTCCAGGAGCCTTAGAGGGGCGGGCTGGGCCAGGCTGAGGAGAGAGGCCAGCTCTTCGCACTCAGTTCTCTCTTCCTCCTTCCTACTGCACAAAATCCTTAAAGCAGCAATCACAATTCCAAAGCTCTGGGTTCTCACATGAGGCCTCTGGTGGAAACCATGCTTCCCTTTGACAGCCAGCCTCTCCGAGTTTGGTCAGTTTGCTCAGCGGGGACTAGGGATTCCCCTGCCCGCATCCTCCCCATCCTTCTTGGAGCCAAGTAATACTGCAGGGCTCCCCCCAACCAGCAACATACTGACGGAAGAGCCTCCTGGTGCTGCCCAATCCTCTTCCCATGCCAGGTTCTAACGAGCAGGGTCCCATGACGGTGCACGTGGTATGGGTGAACCACCGGGCCTTCCGCCTGCAGTGGTGCCAGAAGTGCTGCTTCCACCGCCCACCCCGGACCTACCACTGCCCCCTGTGCAACATCTGTGTGGAGGTGAGGGCCCCTCTTGCTTGCCCACTGTGCTCCGCCCCCCAGCCCATTACCGGGTGGGGACCAGAAGGCTCATTCACACAGGGGCCCGTGGTGGCTATGCAACCACTTCAGGGACTGCTAAAAGTCAAGGGTGGCAGTAACTCCCAGTTGCTCTTGGTTACTCATGCAGTCACTGGCTCTGTGCCTGTGCCTGTACCTGTCCTGGGTGGTTGACTCTTGCCTGCACACAAAGGGACACCCACATCTACACTGGCCTGGTTAAGCCAGGAGAAGGAAACGTACCCCTGTCCTATCTCCCTCCCACCACACGCCCCTGCCAGGCTTGCTGACAGCAGATACCCAGGACCCTCTAACTCAGATTGGCTCAAGCCCTGACTTCAGTGTTTGTCTTTCTCACTTGCAAAGCCCACAAAGGTTTACGAATATGCAGCTTTGTGTAATCCTTCCAACCCTAGAAGGCTGGCTGGGCAAGTGTGTTATTGTTACCCTCATCCCACGGAGGAGAAAACAGATGCCCAGAGATACACTATGTCCTCCTGCCTAAAGTTACCAGTATGTGTTCCACGGAAGACCAGGCAGGCTTGTGAGCCACAGAGCCCTAAAAGTGCTCTAACCACAGAAATGCCAGCATTAGGGACTTTGCGGCTCAGCTGGGGGTAGGGGGGAAGGCAAGGCATGGGGCCAAGGACAGGTGGCTCAGGGTGAGAAGGTAAGGCCTCAGAATTAGAGCTAACAGAGCCTGGGCCAGAGGTCGGGTCCTAGAGAGAGGCCTGCCCCTTCTCCCTGTCACCCAGGATTTTGACCATCACTGCATGTGGGTCAATAACTGCATCGGTCACCGCAACTTCCGCTTCTTTATGCTGCTTGTCCTGTCCCTATGCCTCTACTCGGGCGCCGTTCTGGTCACCTGCCTGATCTTCTTGCTGCGCACGACTCAACAGCTCCTTTACATTGACAAGGTCGTCGCGTATCCACCTGGCTGCCTGGTCTAAGTAGGGATCAGTAGGTAGCTCAGGGACAGCCGAGGGGCGGGGTCTCGGGAGCAGAGCGAATGATGAGAGGGGTTAGAGAGAGAAGCTACTTGGGAGGACCAGTCTGGGACTAGGTGAGGGTAGGTGGAGCCAGGGAGGTGATGGGTGGGCCTAGGAGGAAGTGTAAAGAGGTGAGAATCCTGCAGGAATTGGGGGCAGGTAAAGGTGCTACGGGGGCTTGGTTAACAGGGTCTGGTGAGGTTTTTGCGAGGGTGGAGAGCGGGGAGCGAATAGACAGGGTGGTTGTGGGCGGGGCTGCTCGGTTGGAGTCAGGGATGAGGGGCGGGGCCAGGGAAGACGGTCGCGAGGGGCTGGCTGCTCCTTAGCTGGTGCGCAGCATCGTGGTGGCTGTGGCCGCGGCGGGCTTCCTGGTACCGCTCTCCCTGCTGCTGCTGATCCAGGCTTTGTCGGTGAGCGCGGCCGAGCGCTCCTGCGAGGGCAAGGTACGCGGGGCCCAGTGGGGCTCCACTACCTCGGGCTGTGGGTGGTTACCTTGTGCCTCGGCCACCTCAGCAGTTCCCGCTCTTCCTCCGCTGCTCTGATTCTATGGCCTGAATTCCCTCGATGGTTCTTCGTTAGCCCTTGCAGACCCAGACCGAGCTGAAATCTCGCCTCCTCCAGAGCTCGGTGGTAACTCTCCCTCCTGTGTACACTGCATCTAGGGCCTACTGTGTGCTGGGCCCGTGTGCACTATTTTGAGGGGAGGGTGGCTTGCAGGTGAGTAAGGCTACATCTTACGCTTGTGTTGATAAAGAACCTGAAATCAGAATAACACCTGTCAGACACCTGTGTCTGACACCTCTGAGGGGCCTGTCGTAAGTTGTGCAGCACAGATTCAGAGAGGGAATTGACAGTTCAGGCATGATCTCAGTGTAGGGTAGGACGTACCACTTAGTGATTTTGGATGGGCAGAAGACAGGAGAGAACACTGCCGGTGAGGGGCTAGCTTGCAAAAAGGCAGGTCGCTGGAATGAGAAGAGGATGGAGAAGAAATCGTTTTTAACTGAAGCAGAAGATGGCATAGAAGTCAAGTGGACTGCTTGGAGTTGGCTAGATTTACGAGGCCCAGAAAGTCAGATGGAGAATTTGATCTTGGTTGGTGTAGTGGAATCCTGGGAGACATGACAGGATTCTTTCTTAAATATACAGTAAAATTCACACTTTTTAAGTACACAATTATATGAATTTTGACAAACCATACAGTTCTGTAACCACCACTATAACTAAAATGTATAACATTTCTATCACCCCAAAATATTCCTTCATGGCCTTTTATAGTCAGTTTCCCTCCCTGCCAACCTGGCAACCGCTGATCTGTTTTCTACCCCTATAGTTTTTATTTTTCCAGAGTCTCATGTAAACGGAATCAAAACCTTTTGAGTCTGGCCATTTTCACTTAGCACAATGCATTTGAGATTCATTAATGTTGTCCATATCAGTAGTTTCTTCCTTTTTTTTTGTTGCGTAGTGTTCTCTCTTATGGATGTACCACAGGTTGTTTATCCATTCAACAAAATGCCAACATGTCTTCCAAATGGCCATTCCATTTTGCATTCCCAAAGGAATGAATGAGAATTTCAGTTCTTTATCCTCACTAACATTTGGCATTTTCAGTTGTTTTATCTTAATCTTAGCTAGACTAATAAATATGCAGAAGTATTTTATTGTAGTTTTAATTTGCATTTTTATAATGACAAATGATGTTGAGCATCTTTTCGTGTTCTTTTTTTGCCATATAAATGTGTTTGGTTAAAAGTTGGTTCCAATGTTTTGCCCATTAAAAAAAATTGGGTTGTTTTTGTACTATTGAGTTTTGAGAGTTCTTTATGTAGTCTGGATTCAGATATTTTCTCCCATACTGTGGCTTGCCATCTCATTTTCTTAACAGTGTTTTAAATTTTGATGAAGTACATGATCATGATCAGTTTTTCTTTTATGGATCATGCTTCTGGTATTGTAATTAAGAATATTTTCCTAACTCAAAGTGAAAATTTTTTTTAAAATTTGTTTTCTTCAGCAAGTTTTATAGTTTAAAATTTCATACTTAGGCCTACAGTTTATTTTGGGTTAAATTTTGTATATGATGGAAGGTATGGGTCAAGATTTTTATTTTTATTTTTTTGCATATAGGTTTTTCCAGCACCATTTGTAGAAAAGATTATCTTTCTTCCATTGGGTTATCTTTGCACATTTGTCAAAAATCAACCAACTATATAGTTGTGGGTGTACTTAGGGCTCTCTATTCTTTTGCCAATATCACACTATTTTGAGTAGTAGCTTTATATTACGTTTTGGAATCATGCGAGTTCATATATATATATATATATATTTTACTGATTATGCTATTATAGTTGACCCATTTTTTTTCTCTCCTTTATTCCACTCTGCCCAGTATTCCCATTCCCTCCAGCATTCCCCTTTCTTAGTTCATGTCTATGGGTCGTACATATAAGTTCTTTGGTTTCTCCATTTCCTATACTATTCTTAATCTCCCCTTGACTATTTTGTACCTACCATTTACGCTTCTTATTCCCTGTACCTTTACCCCATTCTTCCCCCATTCCCATCCCCACTGATAACCCTCCATGTGATCTCCATTTCTCTGATTCTGTTCCTGTTCTAGTTATTTGCTTATTTTATTTTATTTTATTTTAGGTTCAGTTGTAGATAGTTGTGAAGTTTGTTGTCATTTTACTGTTCATAGTTTTTGATCTTCTTATTTTTCTTAGATAAGTCCCTTTAACATTTATATAATAAAGGATTGGTGATGATGAACTCCTTTCACTTGACCTTATCTGGGAAGCACTTTATCTGCTCTTCCATTCTAAATGATAACTTTGCTGGATAGAGTCATCTTGGATATAGATCCTTGCCTTTCTTGACTCTGAATACTTCTTTCCAGCCCTTTCTTGCCTGTAAGGTTTCTTTTGAGAAATCAGCTAGTAGTCTGATAGGAACTCCTTTGAAGGTAGCTCTCTTCTTTTCTCTTGCTGCTTTTAAGATTCTCTCCTTACTTTAATTGTGGATAATTTAATTATTATGTGTCTTTGTGTGTTCCTCTTTGGGTCCAACTTGTTTGGGACTCTCTGAGCTTCCTGGACTTCTATGTCGTTTTCCTACTCCAGATTTGGGAAGTATTCTTTCATTATTTTTTCAAATAAGTTTTCAATTTCTTGCTCTTCCTTTCTCCTTCTGGCACCCTTATGATTTGGATGTTGGGACATTTGAAGTTGCCCCGGAGGTTCCTAAGCCTCCCCTCATTTTTTTGAATTCTTGCTTCTTCATTCTGCTCTGGATGAATGTTTATGTCTTCCTTCTGTTCCAAATCGTTGATCTGAGTCCTAGTTTCCTTCCTTTTGGGAACTGTTGGTTCCCTGTATATTTTCCTTCACTTTGTGTAGCATTTACTTCTTCCTTTATTTTGTATGCAATAATTTCTCTCAGCATCCTGACTACCAGTGTTTTGAACTCTGCATCTGATAGTGCACCTGGCTATCTCCTTGTCATTTATTTCTTTTTCTGGAGTTTTGATCTGGATCTATTCTTTCATTTGGTCCATATTTCTTTGTCTCAGAACACCCGTTATGTTGTAAGGGTGGAGCCTTAGGTATCCACTAGGGTTGGGCAACCTGCTTTGCTGAGTTGTGGTGCTGTGTGGGGGGGAGGGGTCAGAGAGGGGACAATGCCACTTGCTTGGCTCTCACCTAGCCCTGTTTTCCATCACTTCCCCTGCTACCCACAAGCGAATTATGCCCTTCAAGGTGCTGTTACAGAAACAAACTTGCCTCCCCCGGGGTCTTTTTTTTTTTTTTTTTTACTATGGTTCTTTGCCTGCCGCCATGTTAGGAACTGTGGCTCTCAATGCCAGAGTTTGGTAAAAAGGAAAGGAACTATTTATTCAAAAGTTATACAGGTTTAGAGTAATGGTGGAATGTCACCATTAAATCCCAAAGTCCCTTTAAAACACCCACAAACACACACACATGGTCCTGTCTCCCCTTGCCAGACCAGGCCAGTCAGCGGTACCATATCTCAGGAAAAGAAATAGAAGTCCATAGCTTGGCTAAACTCCCATTCTTAATCTAAAACCTCATCCTCATGGTGGGCCAGTGGAAGTCCTTCTGCATTCTTTCAAACTGCTGAGAGAGAGCTCCACATGGCTGCTATACCTTGCTTTTGTGCTTCCTAAGCCATGTAGTCAAGAGAGCCCCCTCTCCACTCCTAACACCGTGTGGTTAAACCCCTGCCTGGGTTTTAAACCTGGCCTAGATCTTCCTGTGTAATCCCATTTCTGACTTCTCCCACATTGGGTTACACCTGCCAGTAGTCTGGTATTTCTTGCCTTTCTTGGCTGCCATACTTAGTCCAGGCAGGTGTGGCCCTATGGCGCAGAGCGAACCATCTCCAAGCTCTTCCACATGCGCTGTAACCGAGGGAGCTGCCACCCAGTTATATCATGGGTCAAAGTCACGCCCATCTCCAGGCTCCATGCAGGCTATGAAGCTAGCCTACTGTTACTGATATGCAAAGTAATTCTCAATCCCTATGCTGCTGCTTTTCGCAGCTCCCAAGCTAGGCTTGTGGGGGCGCCCTAGGGCCTCTCAGCCTACACTCGGTTCCAGTGCTGCCCTGGTGCTCATTCCTGCATTGGTGGGTCTGTGTACATTCTAGGACCCTGTGGGCCCCTCCAACAGACTGTTTCATCAGACTGACAGTTTATTTTGTCACCGCAACCGCCACAGGTTTTTACAGCCAGAGGTTTTGAGGCCTTAGTTTCCTGGCACTGGAACCCTGGTTTGGGTGGTCTGTCTCGCTCCCCAGTTGTTCCTGCTGGTTTCTCCATATGTGAACGTGGGACGCCCAGTCTGCCAGCTGCCACCTCACCCACCTGGTCTGCTGCCTTACTACACGTCCTCTCCTCCTCCCTGGCTGCCTATCTTCACCCTCCTACCCATCTGGACGAATGTTTCTTCTTTAACTCCTTGGTTGTCGGACTTCCATACAGTTCAGTTTTCTGGAACCGAGTTCTGGTGGTTTTTTGTTTTTAAATTGGTTGTTATCCTTCTTTTAGTTGTGTGAGGAAGCGAAACATATCTACCATCGCCTCCATCTTGGCTGGTGCAATGTTAGTTCTTCAATTTTGTTCTTTTTCAAAGTTCTTTTGGCTATCCAAGTTCCTTTGATTTTCTCCATAAGTTTTAGAATCTGTTTGTCAATTTCTACAACAAAGTTTGCTGAGATTTTTATTTGGATTGAACCTATAGATCAATTTGGGAAATTGATATGAAAATGGTATACCTTTCCATTTATTTAGGTCTTTTTTGATTTCTTTCATTAATGTTTTGCATTTTTCCACATATAAATCTTGTATATATTATGTCAGGTTTTTTTTCTGATCGTTTCATTTTTTTTGTGCTTTTTAAATGTTTTAAAATTTCATTTACATTTGTTTATTATTACAGTCATGCATCACTTAACTGGGGGATATATAATGAGAAATGTATCATTAGGTAGTTTTATTGTTGCACAAACATCATAGAGTGCACTTAAACAAATCTAGGTGGTATAGCCCACTACACATCTAGGCTATATGTTACAGTCAATTGCTCCTAGGCTTCAAACCTGTACAGCATGTTACTCAACTGAATAGTGTAGGTAGTTGTAATGTGTTGTGCTATTATGTTACAATGGCTATGACATGACAAGGTGTGATAGGAATTTTTCAACTTTATTATAATCTAATTGGGACCACTATTAATATATACAGTCTGCCATTGACCATAATGCATTTGAGATTGATATAAAAAAATACAATGGATTTTTGTATATTGGTCTTGAATATCACAATTTTGCTAGACTCACTTATTAGTTCTAATAACTTTTTTGTCAATTCTACATAGAAAACTGTGCCATCTGTGAACAAGGACAGTTTTATTTCTTCCTTTCCAACATTAAGTCTTTATTCCTTTTTGTTTTCTTAATGCAATGTCTTGAACTTCCAGTACAGTGTTGAGAAGTGGTGAAAGTGAACCTTCTTGCCGTGAGATTTCTTCAGTAAGACAAAGGCTTCAAAACGCTGTCTTAGGAAGATAGTAGTGTGCCACTTCAATGAGGGGGAGGGGCTGGAGTCATTCAGATGGAGACATCTGAAAGGACAGAGGAGCCATCTTTTCCCACCCTCGCCCATCCTTCCAGTCACCACTCAACCACTGCACTCCACCCATATTTGGTTCCCAGCCCACCTGCGACTCCTTTGCTCAGCCTTTACTCATTAGCCCCATGTGGTCTACCTGTCTTCTCTCTCAAGCTTCAGTCCATCATTTTAGCTTCTCTTGGGCAGCATTTTCCATTCCCACATCCTGTGGTTCTTCCAGTTCCGGGTCAGGTCATAGGCCTGCCCTCCCTCCACTGATTGGAATGGAACCCTCCCAGTCCAGGATCTTCAGCCTAAGAAACCTGAGTGTGGTCTGCACTCTGTGGTTCATCAGGCAAGGCTCTTTCCCATTACATGCAGACTCCATTTCAGGTACCTCCAACCTATCTCCATCTCCTGACCATAACTTACTTGGTGGTCGATAGCATGGGCTCTGGAGCCAGGTCATATAAACTCAAATCACAGCTCCACAACCTACCAGCAGGGAGATCTTGAGTATGTTACTTAGCCACTTGGTGCCTACACTTTCCCATCTGTAAAGGAGGTGCAGCATGGATTAATATGCATAAGACATGTAGAACTGTGGCTGGTACAAGTGCTGTATATGCTATTATTATTGTCTCCACTCCTTCCTATCATCATTTACACATGGCCATGTCTCTCATCTTAAAAGCAAAGCAAAACCCTCCCTTAACATCACAGGTTAACTCCACCTGCTGTACTCTCCCTTCCAGCACGGCCATATTTCCTGTAAGAGCTGGCTGTGCTCATGAGTGCCGTTCTTCGCCATATTCGGCCCACCTGAGTCCAGCCTCTTTCCTCGACATCCACTGATGCTGCACTCTCCAAGTGGCCAAAGCTGGCAGGCATCCCTCAGACTCATCTTTCCCCACTGCACACAGCAGCACCTGAAACTGAATGCATCTGCAGTGGCCCTTCCCCAGCCTCTTCGGGCTCAGCTGCTGCTCTGCCTGCACCTTGCAGTCTTGGCCTGTGCCTGCTCCTCCACCAGCACAGTACTGGGAACATCGTTGAGGCCCCCAAATTTTTATGAGTAAATGAGTGAACCTACAAACAAAGAAGTCAATAATGCTTTGGGAGAGAAGGAAAAAGAGCGAGAGAGAAAGAAGTCTGATGTCCTGATCTCCTGGGGAGGAGTAGAGAGGCCAAGCAACAGGCAGTTGGGCAGGAGAGAGAGTGAAAAGATGCCTACTTTGGTTTTGACCTGTGGACTGTAAGTGCATTTGAAACATGGGATTGGGGCAGGAGATCCAGGTCTGGAGCCAGTGAGAGAGGACAGCTTGGGAGCTTCGGAGCTGTTATATTCCATTCTTGTCTCAGAGCGCCCCATGGAGGAAGAGAGAGGAAGGCACTGTGCTTTATTAGTCAGTTTTATGAATTTATTAAACAATTATCAGTCCTTTAAACATTGATCGATCTATACTTTTCTGTACTTCATATATGTCTAATAAATCAACATTTCTCTATAATTCTGACTGTAAATTTGATCAAGCTCTTCGAACAATTTAATTAAAATTGTGAATAGAATGTAAGTTTCCCTTAAATACTTTAAACACTTTTAAGTAGGCAGAACTCAAAATATCTCAATGATTAGTATTGCTTTTTGGAGTCGTCTTGACTTGTCTTCCCTCAGGTGTCAGCTGCCCTGCTTGCAATCCTGGTTCCTTCTGGTAGAGAATACTGTTGAAGATCAAAGTCTTAGTAACAGGGCACAGGGTACAGGGAAGCTGGTGGTGGGCAGAGGTGCCATTGGGCCATTTTTAATTATGACAAACATTTTCTAGCAAAGGCTCTTGAAGTCTGAGTGAGGCTTGGCCTGCACTGGGGAGAAGTAGGGGACTCAGGAAGGCTGGAGACCCTTGAATGGAAGGAGGGACCGGGGAGGAAGAGGACAGTCCGGTTAAGAGTGCCCAGGGGGTGCCCTGACCAGTGCAGCTTAGTGGGTTGGGCACTGTCCCACAAACCAAAAGCTTCAATTCCCAGTCAGGGCCCGTGCCTGGGTTGTGGGCCAAGTGACTGGTTGGGGGCGTGAGAGAGGCAACTGATCAATGTTTCTCTCACACATCCACACTGATATTTTTGTCTGTCTCTTTCTCCCTTCCCTTCCCCTCTCTAAAAATAAATAAATAAAATCTTAAGGAAAGAGAGTGCCCAGGGGAGGACTTGGCTTTTCGGTTTGACCTTTACTGCATTGTGTGTCCAGGACCTTCAGTCCAGATTTTCCAGGGCCGCGTGATTTTGCTTAGGGAAATAGGATAGGGCTCCATACTACTGCCCTTCCAGACAGTGAGATTCATGAAGGCACAAGTTTAGGAAAAAAGAAAGGGAGTAGGATGTGTGTGTGTGTGTGTAGGAACTGTCTTGGAGCAGTTTGTCAGCAAAAGGAAGACCTGAACGTCTACCTGGAATGACGTAGCAGGAGGATATGTGTGGCTGGAGGGGACAGAGATTGGGAAGATGCTGCAGAAGAGGGTACAAGGTGATGAGAAGGATACCTGAGAAGGCAGGAGAGGTGGGTATAGTGCCAGGGTCTCCTGGAGACAGCAACTTAGAAGTCAGTTGGGGAGGCCTCAACTCACTCTTGGGCCTCTTCGCCCTCTGAGTTTGCTGCAGCCCTGGGCTGGACTGGGTTGACTGGCTCAGCGAGGGAGGGCCAGTGGGGATGGTCTGTCCAGTCCTGCTGGCTCTGAGTTCCTCTTCCCACCCTTACCCCTTCCAGTGCCAGTACCTGCAGGGATATAACCCTTTTGACCATGGCTGCACCAGCAACTGGTATTTAACAATTTGTGCACCACTGGGACCCAGGTGAGTTGGTAAACCGGAGGTTTGAGTGGTGTCCCCTGGGGCTGGGGGATGGGGTGAAGCTGGGTCATCTCTCCTGGCCTCTTAGCACAACTCCCAGGCTCTCACACTCACTGTTCCCATTCTCTGAGGTTTTCTCCAGGGCATTGTGGGAGCCTCAGGAGCCTCCCCATTCCCTTGCCTCTGTGCATCCTTGCCCTAAGAAATGGAATAGAACGACACTGCAGCCTGGGTGACACTGGCCCCGGCTCCCTGCAAGGCCAAGTTCTGGGCTGTGCACTTCCCAAGCTGAAGAGGCTTGGGAAGAGGCCGGGGGACCACTACCCCTTGCATCTAGTTTATTGTTCCCCAGGTACATGGCCAAAGCTGTCTGGCTGCAGAGAGTGGTGGAGCCGGACTGGGCGCCTGTGCAGAACCTGCATTTCCCAACATGCCCCTCTGCCCTTAGTCGCCCAGTCCTCCCTGGGCCTGGGTCTTGCCACCAGCCCCCACCTCTGGCTCTCCACAAACCAGGAAAAGCTCCCCGAGGTAGTGGTGAGGCTGAAGCTGTCCAGGAGGTGAGTTTTGTGTGTGTGTGTGTGTGTGTGTGTGTGTGTGTGTGCGCGCGCGCGCCTTGGGAGAGGGGCATATGTGGATTGCATAGGTGTTGGGGGAGTGCCCCCACCATGTTGAGCTGGCTCTGAAGCTACAGTACTCAGAGCTCAAGGAAGGGGGATTATAGACCTGAGGAGCATTAAAAGTGGAGTCACAGCCCTCCAGAGGACACCAGGGGGTCCTGGAGGCACGAAGACCATACCGCTCGCTTGCTGGTTAGCCTTGGGCCAGTCACTTGCACTTTCTGGGCTTCAGTTTCCTCAGCTATAATGAGAACTGAAACTAGCCCAGTGATTTATAATTTGGGGGGTGGGTCAGATTCCTTTATTTAAAGGCAATTTTTACTCTAAAGTCCAATATATGAAACATGGAGGTGAAGCATTAGGATTGCTTGGGTAGTTTCTTGATCCCCAGCAGGGGGGCTCTGAGTTGTGGGGCAGGGGCTTGGAAAGAGCCCCCACACCCCCACTTCATGTTTAGTTCCACACAGGCTTAATGCTGCCTCTGCCTCAGGAGGTCCCCAGATAATGCTCACCCCTTCGCACCCAGCGAAGCCAGGAACCCCGGCACCGGAACTGTTCCTCCTGAGCCCCGCCCTTGGCCACTCTGCTGGCAGGGAGTGCTAGCTGCACCCCCACCCCACCCCAGCAAAGCCCATTAAACATCCTTTCCTTGCCTCCTAAAATTATCCCGCTGTGTGTGTCTGTCCTGGGCGTGAGGGAGTCTGCGGATGGGGGTCGCTCTAAGGGGTTGGGACGAAGACTCTGGGAGGGAGGAGGGCCCTACGCTAGCTGGCCCTGCGACGTTGGGCAAGACACTCAGCATTTCTCTTATCCTTAAAATGGGGTAACCGTAAAAACTATAATGGCTGCCCTGGCTACCTCCCTGCGGGTGCTGGAGACCAGGGAAGAGAAAACCTAGCGCTGCGCGGGACCTCGGCCTCCGGGAAAGATCCTGCCCCTGCCTACCACACCCCTGTCTCGCTGCAGGGGGCGCCCACTGCCTGGGAAGTCATCAGGCCTGGCCTGGTCCTGCCAGGGCACCAGGGCCTCCTGGGTGGGCTGGTGCTGGCCGTTCTCAGTCTGGGAGTGGGCCCTCCCTCCGCCTCATCCCTGGGAGGTGGAGGGTGGGGGTTCGCTCCATCATAGTCCAGCCCTGCTTCTTTCCTACCAGTGGGTCTCACCCTGGTCCCTCCCTCCTCCTGGGAAGTCAGGTCCTGTCCCTGGGGTGGGCCCTAGGCCCTGTTAGTCTGCAGGAAGTGGGAGGGTGGTGAGGCGGGCGGTAGGGGGACTGTGCACAGGAAACTGTGGCTCCTCTGGGGGCTTGTGTGTGACCATGGGAATGGAAATAATGGCACCTTCCTGAAAGGTTGTCAGAGGATGAAGTGAGTGAGGTGGTTCATGTAAAACACCTGGTACACAGTAGGCACACAATGAATGCAGCAGTATGATTATAATTATTCTCGCCACCCCACAGCTAACAGACCACCCAGTGTTTCTCCAAAGACCATCTTCTCAGAATTACCCGGGCCCCCAGACCACCGACTCAGAATTACATACAGGGTGGAAGGAGGATAGGAATTTGAATCAGATTTTTTATCAAGTGCCTCATGTGATCCGGCTACCCTGAAGTCTCAGGACTGCTGCCTTAGGAGGTGAGGATGGGTACCAAGCACACCGCTTCCCTCATATCCAGGTGAAACCGGGGTGCGGTGAAGATGAGGCAGACAGATGAACACCCCGGGGCCCTGTGGAGGTGTGTGCACCTGTGTGGGCACACATGTGCTTGTGTGTTGGGGGCCGGAGCTCCTTCTCCAGGGCTGCCAGCCCAGCCCGGGGAGGCGGGTGACCCACAGTGCAGGCCGTGGCTCCAGTGTTCATATGCTGAGATCCCCGAGAGGCTGCCTTCCCCTCTTCCCGGCACCTCCACCTGCTGTGGCAGCCGTGGGCCCTTCCGGGCCCAGCCCAGCCTCACCCACCGCGCTGGCTCTGGCTCCCTGGGCTCCTGGCCAGCCTTGCTCAGCCCCAGGGACTCCAGCTCTTCTCAGCCCCTTTGCCCTGCTCCCAGTGTCTTCCAAAGTCCCAAGCCCCTTTGGGATTCATGCCTTCTCTTAGCTCTCATCCCTACTTAACTCAGCATTGCCCATGGATTCTCAGGAGGGGTGCAGAGCACTATGGTCCAGTTTGAGGCTGGCTGTAAGTGGCTTAAGTGGCCACATTTAAAATTCTTAGGGCCCACATTTACAAGTAAAGCTGGAGCAGCCGCATGTAGCCTGGAAAGCCCATTGTACATGGTCACATGGTGAAGTAAGGCAAGTATGAGGCCTTTTCAGACCTTGAGCCTAGGTATGTATGTGGAACAAGAATCTGTGTGAGTCTCTTGTCTGTGTTCAGGGTGTACAGCTCAGCCCAGGCTGGTGAAATAGGGCACCCACAGGGCTCGTAGGCCCACTCCCAAATGGGAGTCCTTGGGGTGGCCAGGGCCTGGGCCAGAGTAGAAGAGATCCAGGAACCTGGGCCAAGGCCTGGATGGAGAGGTAGTCATGGAACTGGCTGGTTGAGGAGTGGCATCTGCTTGGAGCCCCGACTGCCAGGGGCTGGGGAGGCCCCGTCCTGGCCTGCCCTGCCCGGCTGCCCTTCCCTCACTGCCCGGACTGATTCACAGCCGGGTGGCTGGTCATCAGGGCTGCACCTACTGGTGTTAAAAAACAAAATTCAACTGAGTAGACTTGAAGATCTAATTGATTTCATTAAATGATTCATAAATTGAGCAGCATCCCATCTAGCAACTAGAAGGGCACTCTGAGGAGTGGTACAAAATGGAAGGTTATTTATAGGAAGAAGGGTGGGGCAAGGGAGCTATTAGGGGAAAAAAAGGGGGGAGGATTATTTGGGGTCCCATATGTCTTTTGGGGGGAAGGGTTCTTGTCATTCAGATTGCCTTTTCTTCCTGTGGGGGATGGAAAGGGCCTACATGATAGGTTACATTATTGGTGCTTGACCAGAGAATTCCAGACTCGTTAAGATTACATTTCTAAGAAAGGTTGAAACCACAGTTAGATCAGACATTAAATCTAGGTTTGGTGTCATGAGCTTTTAGCACAAGTGACTCCATTTTGAGCCTGTGGTTTTCTCATTAATACCAGGTCCTTGCCTCCAGCTGCAGAAGGGGATTCCCCCAGTCCCAGGCAAGGCCTTCCAAGCCCTAAGCCAACTGCAGGCATCTCCTCTGGCAGCCGGGGCCTCTGTTTCCGCCCTGGGCACAGACATAACTTCCCTCAGATTCTCTAAGGCGGCCATGACTCCTCCTGCGCTGGGTGTGCAGGTCTCTCCAGTGTCGACCGGCCTGAGATTTCTAGAATTTCTGCTCTTCTACGGGTAAGTGGGACCTAGCCCACCTCTTCTGTTGACCCTCTCCCCTACCCCCTCCCTCTTAAGCACTGACCCCCACCTCAGAGATGCTTTCCTGCCAGACTGGAGGTCTCAGTTGAGCTGTGCCCACCTTCCTTTTCTGCCCCTTTCCCATTTCTGCTGAACTTGTCCTTGATTCTCAGACACGCCTCTCAAAGTCCTTGGCCCACGGATAAAAGGAGGGATGTTGTCAGGGCCCAGTGATGGGACCTGCCCTCCATACATCATGAGGCCATGCTATCCCTGCCTTCCCTTGGGCCGCAGCCAAGGAGTGACCCCTACCCTGCAGGGCCACCAAGTGCCCACATGTCTGGAGCCCCTCTGAGAGGTTCCCAGCCCACTCCTGGAACCTGATGGAGGTGGTTGGACCCTGGGATGGGGAGCCCGGAAGCATCCACCCCTCACTGCCTCTAGTCCCTTCCTCCGTGGGTCTTCTAGAAGGTTGGGGCATGTAGCGTGGGAAGAGCACGGAACGGAGAGTAAGGTATCACTCAGCTCTGCTATTAATTAGTGCTGTGGGAGCAAGTCTCTTTCCTCTGCTGGGCTTCAGGTTCCTCATGTATAAACAGGATGATCACGGCTACCTCGCAGGTGGTCACGCGATCCTAACTCTTTGCAGCTAGCAGGGACTCGCTCTTGATAGATGGGAAAGAGAAAGGGAAGGGATTGTTCAAGATGACACCGTCTCCCATGCAGGTGGTGCTCTCCCTGTTTCCCAGGCTGCCTCTCCCATTCCTGCGCAGAGGACCGTTCCAGAGCAGAACGACTTGGGGCAGTGATCACAGGGCCCTACCTTCCGGCCCCCATGCCTCGGAGCCAGGTCCTACATTTCAGCACAAGGCTTGGAAAGCTGATAAGAAGTCCGGGCTTAACTCTGTCTCCAGCCCTGTGCTGGGAGCGATAATGATGCCCTGCCCTGAGCTGCCTCCCGCTCCGCCCTGCCCTGTCCTGCTCTGCCCTGCCCACCTCACCCAAGGGGCCCTGCAGGTGGCTGAGGGCGGAGCAGAACAAGGGCTGATGGGGCAGAGGAGGTTGCAGCAGTGTCCTGAGATCAGGGGCCAGAATTCTAACACCTCACAGAGCACGAGCCCCTTACTGGCTGACCCTCCTGGGCCCCTGGGCACAGTGCCTGGCACCAGGTGATGCTCCTTCAGCCCCATGTCTTCCTCTTCAGCTCCCACATGTGGAGTGTGACTGGAGGGGCGTGGCCCTGAGCTGGAAGTTCGCCTGGGCCCCCATACTGGGGAACAAAACTTTTACTGAGCACTGCCCCAGCCAGGGCCTGTGCTAAGTGGTTCCTAAGACCTCCGCTAATCCTTATAACAACCCTCTGAGACTGTTATTCTCATTTTAGAAATGAGAAAACTAGCCCTGAGCAAAGAAGCCACTTTGCCAAGGTCACACTGCTTCTACATAGCAGAGCCAAAACTATGTCGGCCTTTACCATTGCACTGTGCTTCATAGGCAGTTCTATTTTATTTCAATGTAGAGCACTGGTTAAGACATGGGCTCTGAAGCTAGACTGCCAGGTTTCCCTGCCATAGGTGAATAATCGTGCCTCATAGCGCCATTATGAAGATGCATTGTGCAGGGCATGTGAAGAGCTTGGCACCCGCACTGACCCGTGGCAGGCGCTTGATCAGCAGTACAGTGTGAGCCAGGGGGCCTAGGATGCCAGGCACATGGCGACAGCAGCCCGCTCCTGCCCAGTTCGGTGTGGGTTTCCTAGTGGCCGGGCAGCAAAGGTGAAGGATGCTGCTTCACAAGGGAGGTCTGTGGTGGTGTTTTATAGAGAATCAGCCAACATTGCTGTCTCTGGGCCAAAGGCGAATGGAGGCGTGGGCTGAAAGGCTTCAGGGGAGCAGCAAGATGACCACCCAAGAGGCTCTGCCATCCCGCATGACTGAGGGAGTTCCTGTTATGAAAGCACCTGTTGCTTCTGTTTTGTGGTGGGACAGAGTGTCCAGGCTGAAGGAAGTCACAGGCTACAGTGTTCTGAGCCCTGTGTCTGGGCCCCTCTGAGCGCCGCTGCCCACGGCTCCTGCCCCGTCTGCCTTCTCCCCGTTGTCCCCCTGCGCCTCATCTCTTCTCACCTCCCACTCTGTCTCCTTTCTCCCC